AATATTTTTGAGGGACATGGGTGAAGGAAATGGAAAAGGGAAGAAATATAGATAATTTGAAAGATTTTTTAAAAATCAGTAATGTCAGTATTATATATATGGTTGTAGATAAAAAAAAATATTGAGAACATGTTCACTAAAATAGCGAATACACCATTTTAATTTAGTATTAGTATTCAAAATATGCTTTGGAGGGCCTTCTTCAATAGTTTTTAATTTTTCTGAATGCATCATGAAAGATGATTGCAAAATTATTTATATCTTACAGCCGCACTCAGAATCGGTCAACGCGACGCGCGACTTAATTTTTTACTTCATACCGCGAACGAGATGTGTTTAAAAAACCGCATCACCAACCGACTAAAACAGCGAACGGGAGACAGACTTTCCAGATGGTCTCCTGTCCATCCATTCGCATCGTCTAACATCGCTTAACTTCGATGATCTTTTATCAGGTGTTTAGTACACTGAAGTTTGTCTAATTATAGTTCGTATCAAATAAAATTTTAGTCATGTGATTAAGCTTGACCGGCACAGCGTTGCCCTCTTTTACATATTTTCTTTTAAAAACTTAATGTTAAAATGGAAAACAAAGTCCAAAGTTTTAGTAGCCAACACTTTGTGAGAATAATAGTAGTAGGTTTCCACTAGCATCCATTTCGTCTAGCATTGTTTAACAAAATGAGTAACCGATCACTCAAAATCAACATACGTCTGCGTTTTGTCCATTTTATGTATACTCAATCCTCTTATACGGCTGGGAGACATGGACGATTAAAATGAACAACATGAGACGGTTGGAAGCTTTTGAAATGTAGATCTACGAAAGACTTTTGAAATGTGGATCATTGAAAATACCCTGGACAGATCATGTACGCAATGAAGAGGTTCTTGGGAGGCCTTAACATAGAAGTTGATTATAGAAGGAAAGGTAGAAGGCAGAAGAGGACTTGAAAGACGCAAGCACTCTTGGTTGAAAAACTTACGAGACTGAACTGGACTGAACACACACGAACTGTTTCGAGCTGCACAGGACAGAGAGTGTTGCGCCACGATTGTTGCCAACATTCATTAGAAGATGGTACTATAAGAAGAAGAATGGGAAAGCGGTAGTAATGTCCCCTAAGTACTGTTAAGAAGGTGAGTTTTGTTGCTGTAAATAATAAGTGTTTATATATTTATAATTAATTTATTTTGGTTTCCTAAAATAGTTTGAATAAAAGAAAATATGTAAAAGTGTCCAGTGATCATTTTAATCCTTGAAGGGAAATGTGTTCTGTCGTTGTTACGTTACCAGGCCCATCTTTTGCCTGATAAGAAGCAATAAAACGCAGATACGTAACTGTTCCCTAATGTTCCCTAAAAGTGACAAAACTTTGCTCACTGGGTGGGCAACGCTGTGCCGGTTAAACTTAATCACGTGACTAAATCATCATTATTTACATCAACAAAACTCACCTTCTTAACAGAACTTAAAGGACATAAAGAACCATTACTACCGCTTTCCCGTTCAAAATGTTCGAATAAAGTTGCGATGAGTTTTTTACGGCTATCAAGCTATCTTGCACCACTTCGCACTAAAAGAGGTTCTAAAAAGAACAATGTTCGACTGCAAGGTCTGCTAGTAACCATTTTTTAAGCTTAAAGTATAACAACACTACATATTTATTTAAACCAAAAACTCGTAATACAAAACTAAAGTGTCAAAACAAATGACAAGGTCAGGAAATAAATAAATAAATAAATACGGCATCTTGATATTTTTTACAGCAGAACTACTACCTGAATCCCCAGCGGGAAATTTAGGTCAGGGGTAATGTTAGTCAGCTCGGTGCCAAATATATCCATGGTTGGCAATACCTAATAAATTCAAAAATCGCGCCCTCGCAACTAAAAGTTTAATCCATAGCAAATATATATTATTTGTTTGAGAGTTTTATAATACCTGTCTCGAAAAACCAAGCCGAGTACGCCACTGCCCGAGAGCAACCCGATCTCTTTTTATATTAAGCTATTTACCGTGTTTTCTGGCTTGTTCTGTAGAGTTCCAATTTTCATAATAAACCGAAGGAAACCTTGAAAGTGACAACGGTCTTCGAATGGCATAAATAAAATTGTACGGTGGTTCGCCCAGGTCAGGGAGTATGTGACCTACTTCCGTGCAATTTACATAAATAAGCCGCCCGTCTGTTTACGAACCTTAGACGCACGTTAGCTTATTTGTCCGTTCCCATTTTTATAGTTCCCATAGTTCTGTCAAATTAGGTTTAATGTCCGACCTTCCCCAACGTAATCTGATCAGAGATAAAATAGAGTTGAAGTATATATTTTCCAGGCTTTGAATAAATAATATTAAGGACGGAGCATATTTATAAAAAAATCTTAGGTGGAGCATAATGGAGTGGAGATTAATATGTCTAAAAATATTAGTTCGAAAAAGTAGCAAAATAAGCGTTCGGCATTTAACGTTTTATGTAAAACTGGCTAAGTATTTTTTCACAAATGAGGAAGGAAATTAAAGAATAATGGATTATTCTATATCCGTATTGTAGCACATTTTTATAACTTCTTTATTTTTAAGATTTTGATGGTCAAACATCAACAAAATATTGCTTATGTTTGGACTTAATTTTCTCGAAAATAAAGACATAATTTAAAATTACGGAAATCCGTTACAATACGGAAATAGATTGAAGTTTTGTGATTACAGTGATATATGATTTATATGGTTTTGTAACAAATTACTCGTTATTTTATGGCAAATTCTGAAGACCTGCAAACCTTAATCAAAGCACGTGTGTTCACATAGCACATATTTCGGGCTAAGCCTAAAGGTACATTCAGGCTGAGATCGTCGAGCGTCGCGTCGCGTCCGCGTATCGAAATAGAATCAATTCACTTAACTTAAATTAGACCGTTCAGGCAGACAGTGTCGCGTTTGGCGTTGCGCGAGCATCCGCTGAGCGTAGGGATTCGAGTTCAATGGGGCGGACGCGACGCAAACGCGATGCGACGCTCGACGCTCTCAGCCTGAATGTACCTTTAGGCAGATTTCTGAAATTTAATATATATTTCCTTCGATCACACACCCGCTTACACGATAATAGACTCTTAAATTGCGCATTGTACTTAAAACATATGTAAAAATATAATACAGGATAGATTCAATAATTTGTTGATTCTATTTTATGTTGTCAATATTTGTTATTGGTTATTAAATAAGTTCAGGATAGCTCAACAAATCCGCACAATTTTAAATCAAACTCTGATGTCAACAGGTCTCAAACAGACCTGTCAAAATTAAAACTAGAAGAATTTCGGACTTCCATTGTATGTAATTATTTTGCTTACACAACGTTTCGGTCTGAAGTATCATTAACCGTTATCAAGTGTGAACTAAACTACAGAGCTTATATACTCTTATATACTAGGGCGGAGAATTTACTCTATGGGTTCCTCGTTCTCTCCAGTGATAGCGAATATACTCACCGGCAAAAAAAACGGTCACTAAAAACTAGTCCCAATTTCAAAGTTGGATTTCTCGCGAACCACTCATTAGATCTTGATGATTTTTATTTAAATTGTAAATTAATTCCTTCTTAACGGATGCTACGACAGAAATTTTTATTCCGAATTTATTTTGAGCATATACAGGGCACAACAATAAGACGAAGTTTTTTGCCCGAACTTTGTAACACCCTGTAGGGTGCAGCAGCTGTAGTAGCTATTGCTAAATTAAATCACATTGTAGCCTCATCTTTTGTGAGCATTTTCTTTTTTTAATCATGACATTATCTCTGTTTGTATTGGAGATACGCCGCTTTAAAACGAACGTCTTGGAAAAATGCTTCGCAAGCAAAACCGCAATTCATCCGTGAAAAGGACTTTAGTCCATTGCTTAATATCCCAATTGACATGTAAACGCGCAAACTGAAGATGTGCTCAACGATGTCTTGGAAGTAGCTGAGGTCCTGTGGCAGGCTTCTTTGCAGACATGCTGTTTTCTTTTAGTCTTCGTTGGATTATTCTCTCACTGACTTGAGTTCTACACACGGCTTGTAGCACATGTTGATTCTGAAACGCTATAAATCTACGATTGCGTAAAGTATTCAGGATAATAAAGCGGTCGTCAATTACATTTGTCATCCGTTTTCTTCCGGAACCCACTCTCCTGGTGAAATTTCCCTTTTCCATATACCGATTCCAGGCAGCCTGGAATGTGTTGTTCGAGGTATATCTGGGGTATCGGACACAACGTTGACTTCGGCCATCCTCAATTAAAGCCACAATACGAGCAACATCCGTCCACCATCCGTCACAGATAATGGCATTTTTTAATTTGACAACCGTTGTTGTCATATTGCAAATACTCATAAATCCGTTTTCGCCTATGTAGCATGATTATTTACACATAAAACTCTCTGCCTGCGAAGCATCTTTCCGAGACGTTTGTTTTAAAGCAGCGTATCTCCAATACAAATAGAGATAATGTCGTAATTAAAAAACAAAATGCTCACAAAAGATGAGGCAACAATGTGATTTGATTTAGCAATAGCTACTACAGCTGCACCCTACAGGGTGTTACAAAGTTCGGCGAAAAACTTCGTCTTATTGTTATGCCCTGTATATGCTCAAAATAAATTCGCAATAAAAATTTCTGACGTAGCATCCGATAAAAAGGAATTAATTTACAATTTAAAAAAAGTCATCAAAATATAATGAGTGGTTTGTGAGAAATCCAACTTTTTTTTTAATTTTATAATTTTCTGGAACCGATAGACAGTTGGATTCCTTCCTGAATCATCTTAATTCACGAAATAACTCAATCAGATTCACGATTGAGAAAGAGGAACATTTCTTTCTACCGTTTCTGTATGTTGTTGTCAGTAGAAGCGATGAATCGATTAGCACTGCTGTACATATAGAAACTTTTTATTTATATTTTTTTAGTCATTTTCGTACTTTATAAAATGTTTATGTCTTTAATGTTTTGGTTGCAGCTGACGATGGAGATACGGAAATAACGTGCCAAACAGCAGTAAGAACGTTAGTACGGTACCATCAGAGAGCAAAAGCATCCAACGGTAACGTGTGCATGATGGGAAAATACCATAACATCCTATACATAGCAGTTAGATTGTGTTACCTCTGGGGTGTGAAAAATTTAGGTACGTGTATGTATAAAAAAGTTGACACAAATTATTTAATTTAAGTATAGCTTTTCTTAAAAACACTCCCTGTTTTAGAGTAATAAATTAATTATAGGTTTGTTCCAACCAGCATTTCGGGATCGTTTCGAAATCGTACTCGAATCGGTTTTCTTGCACTTTGTAATGCCGCAACCGCACATGCGGCATTTAGCGATCTCCGATCGGGGCTTCGCCGATTTCCTATGTGTGTGGATGGGGAAGTCGGAGTTCGGCGACTCGATCGGCGACGAGCACGAGCGCTCATCTCTATGTTGTTGCTATCAGTGGCCGCATGTGTGGAGTTGAGCGCTCGGAGTTCGCTAACGTTTCGTGAGTTACGTGACGGTGCAAAAAGTATCAACGTTGGAACGCTTTGTGGATTGTTTTCGGGACTGCCAAAAGTGTCAAACGTGCGTGTATCGATCGGTTTTTTGTTTTTGTTTAGAATTTCATAACATAACCCTATTATTTTTGTTTGCAATTTGCAATAATAATAATTATTATTCTTGAAATGGGGAATCAGAATCCAGTAAGTAAGTTGGTAAGTGTTGTTTCAAACTGTATACTCACTAACTCACTTACCTATCCTCTCTTTTCTGATCCTGTTATGCGTAGTTTCCTGTTATTCCATTGCAGTGCAGTGGTAGAATCTTTAAACATTATTTTATAAATAAAAAATTAATTAAAATTTCCAAACGATTTACTCCACACAAACTCAGAAGCAAAAGTATAACACACACGTATTCGAATTCGTAAAAAATAACCGAGGCAGAAGCATCAGCTGGACGCCGGACCAGAATCAGCTGTTAAAAATCGATAATCCCTGCCAATGTCCTTTAATGCGCAAGGCAACCCAAAGAGTTCTCAATCTGGACCATGTACCGAAATTACCGTTCTGAAATCATAACTAAACGATCCCAAGGTAGGTTGGTACGCAAATAGGATCGTCCGATAACCGTTAAATCTCGGTTGGAACACATTTAAATTACTGCGCACGAGCGTGATCGTTCGGTGACGGTTCTGCGGCGGGTTGGAACAAACTTTATGCAACTTTTCTATAATATTATATTTTAATATACATCTTTTAATCTTTCAAAAACAAAGCCATTGTACCTTAGCTGCTTTATTGTTATTTAACGCAATCCCTTTGTTTCCAGATATTATTTCCGAACTTCTAAGAGACATCTACTCTTGCGAATATACCTTTGAGCGAATAATTATTGGAGCTATTTTTGGCACTAGAGCTCCACATTATATAGCAGGTATTCAATTATTTTGTAATCATCTATGTCTTTGAACTTTACTCAATATTACAATACAATATCTAATCATTGTCGATTGAATTTTGTATCAAAGATTCCGGAGTGAATCCCAAATTCCTTTTTGTTAAAGAAGTTACTAGCTGCTACGTCCCACTAGTCAACTCGCATACCCAACAATGTTGCCGTTTGATGTCGCCTTATTTTATGAACGGTTACAAGACATAATATACCGTATGATCTTGGAAATGAACATCGATGACATTCCTCGTATAATTTATTTGATTAATAAATAAGTGAAATGAATGACAGTATTGCTAGTAGCAGTGTTTGCCGCGAATGTAATGACAGTTTTGTGTATTTAGTGTGATTCGGAAATACGTTAAAAAATTTCATCCAAATGAGATAGCGGAAATAGCACCTTTAAAAACATTTTAGTGCAAAGAAGAGTTTAGCATGGCATTTAAAATCACATGCACAAGTGGCACAAGGTAATTGACCAAATTTTCAAAGAAGTGAGGCTGAGTCAAATGTACCTAAGCATTCTCATCCAGGATATTAGTAATGATGGTGCATAGACTTTGACTTTGTCCTTTTCAAGAATGTAAATATTTGATCTTAATATCCTCGATCGAGGGATAATAATAGTACTGTTTTAGGTGATGGTTTAAATAATAATAATATCCCTGTACAAAATATTAAAAAATTGTCCTATGTGTGATTTTGTCAGTAGGTTTAAAGATGACATACATGAACATTTTAAACAGGATCATGATATTAGTGTTAAAATAAATAACATGAACTTATCCTCAGCACAACAATAAAATTAAATTTGTGGTTTTCTTATAATAAGATATTTGAATTCAAAAATAGTAGATAAGAATTTTTCTAGATGGTTTGACTAACGTTCACTCTGAATAAAATGCAGTTAAAATTAAAATCTAGCAGCTTATCAAAAGTTTTTTTTTTGTTAAAGTATCACATATTTCCATAAATAAAAATATCTGAATTTAATTTTTAAACAAATTTTAAATCTCTAGTGAATATTAGACTATAACAAAATAAACAATCTACACTAAAACGCACAAAACTTGCTATTCATTTCACTTATTCTTACTACATCTAGTATTCTGATTACTATTAAGAACGTTCTAACAAAATAAACCAAATAGCATTCAAACTTTAAAATAAACCGTAAAAATAAACGTCTCTAGTTTAGCTGACAATTGAAAATCATGAAATTAAGGGATAACAAACGGCAACGTTGTTGGGTATGCGAGTTGACTAGTGGGACGTAGAAGCTAAGAATAAATATATTATATTTGTTACTATATTTAATGGGTAGTATGTGGTATTATTATATCATGCTTAAAACCGTAGGATGGAAAAGTGACTTCGATGATAAAGAGGATAATTTTAGAGGTCTCATCTATTTTTTAGATAAAGCTAATAAAGCCAAATTAGAGTTTCCATTTGAGTTGAAGAAAAATGAAACAAAGTTATTCAGGTGTTATAGAAAACGTATATCATCCTCAGAAATATACTTTTTATAATTTTAGGTTTATAGACTTGCCAATCGAGAGTTGTGGTAAAACATCTATGGTAAAATTGAGCGTTCAATTAGGATTACCGGATAAATTATTATTTTTCACACGGTTTGGTGCCTTAACATCACATGAAGCGGATGACGGTGATTCTTTAGAATTTATTTTAAACAGGCAAGTGCATAACAACTGGACTGCTTAAGTTATATTGTAAAAGAAACAACTTTTTCAAATATATTTAGTTTTTTAAAATTCGACCAATAAACTCATTCTATGGCTATTTATTTCTTTGAATGTCAAATTGATTTAATGTAAAAATTATCAAATTGAGGTTTAAATATCTAACTATACCGGGTGCGAGTCAAAAGTGGCTCACCCCTATAACATTTTTATCTTTTTAAATAAAAAAAAACGAGATTTGGTATGTTATTATATGACATAAATTAGGATTGATTGACGTATTTAATTCTTTTCAATCACTTCCTGTTTCACCGGAAATGACTTCAACTTTTTATTTTTAAATGACACCCTTTGTATTTTTTTACTTCATTTGATTTAAAATGGTATTGTGTAAACATTTGACATTTTCAATTAAAAAAATGGTATCCTAAATTTTAATTAGAGTCTCCATTAGTCAGTGGCGTTGACCTTAAAAAGCATCAAAATATTTCAGTGCTGGACACCAGCACCAAATTTGGCACACAGCTTCTACACATAATAGAGCTTCAAAAATTGCCAGAAGACAATCTCTGGCATGTCCGGATCATCCTTTGATGACGTCATCAAAATGGCGGACAAAATTTTTAGCAGGAAATTAGATTATTACCAGTAATTTAGTTATTTTTTAACCGATTTTAAGTTTTAATAGCTCATTTTAATGTTTGAATAATTTGCTAAAAAAACCTTATATTCATTTTTTTGTAGGGGTAGTTTTAACGCATCCCTTAAAATTGTGGTAGTTAGTAAAAACTGACTGCTTTATTGTCAACAAATTGTTAACAAAAAACAAAACCAAAAAAAAAATTATATTAAATATTAAGTATAAAACAGTTTTTTAATTTTAATTATTGTTTGTCCCTCCCTCCACTAACACACCCCCTGCCCCCACGTTCGACTGAACTCTAATAATTTTCTTGTATTGCATGCAAAATAAAAAATATTTTTTTGGGATTTATTAAATGTTTGTTAATAATTTTAGAAAAATAAAAAAAATTATCACTGTCCCCACTCCTTCCCTCTAATAAATTTTCTCAGCCCGCCCTGACCCTTTTTATCCCCTCAATCAAGCAGAGCATTCCAGCAGTATAGCGAAAACATCGTTCAATCTTATATTCGGTCAAGACTTACGCAACGGTAGATAAGGTTGATATTGTTTTTGATTAGTATATCCCGGAAAGCTTAAAAACAGGAGGCGAGGTGTTCTGGAGATAGGGTAAGCATAAAGCCCAATGTGATAATTTCCAAAAATTTTAATTCCTTCTTGGCACACAGCCAAAATAAACAGGACTTGTTTGGGTTTTTGGCTCAAAACTTAGTAAAGATGGATGTACCGATTAGAAAGAAAATAATCTGCACATATGAGAACTTGGTCATTGGTCATTAGTTCCGATAATGAGGTTTCTTATAATCATATTTCCCCAACATTTCATGAAGAAGCAGATGCTCGACTCTTACCACATGTATGGCACACCTTTGAGGAACATACCAAAATTACTATAAAAACAGTAGATAGTGATGTAGTTGTTCTTGCAATATATGCTTTTCCAATGTTGGAGAACATAGAGGAGTTATGGGTTGAATATGGAACGGGAAAAAATCTAGAGTACCTTCCAATTCACCAAATTCAGCAAAAACTTTTACTTGGTGTTTCAGACTTGCTTCCCTTTTTCGTGCTTTTTCGGGGGCAGATACTGTTTCAGGTTTTGGGGGAATCGGCAAAACTACAGCATGGAATACATGGATGTCATATAGAGAAGTAGATGAAGCTTTTGTTAAATTTCAGAACATACCCTGCACCAAGACTATATTCCAAAACGAGAAAGCTTTTATGATTTTTCAAAGATTTGTATTACTTATGTATCATTCAACTAGCACTGCGGAAACTGTAAATGAAGCAAGGCGAATCCTTTTTTGCCAACATAACCGTTCCATCGAACATATTCCGCCAACGTGTGAAGTTTTGCTAAATCATCTTAAAAGAGCAATTCTGCAGTGTTTCGTGTAGAGAAATTGTCTTCAACGAGATGCAGATCAGCCAAATCCAGGCGAATGGGGGTGGAAGAAAGTTGGGGATCAATTTGAACCACTTTGGTCTACAAGTTCCGATATTTCAATGGAAAAATTACAAGAGCTTATCGCCTGTAAATACACCCAATGATGTACTTCAAAATGTCGTTGTGTAAAAAGTACCTTAAGGTGCACAATGCTCTGCAGGTGCGAAGGTCAATGTACCCGCGAATAATTTTCTTTTATTTGGGAATATTGTACATATTATTAGTAGTAGTTACTATTTTTAATTATAAGTGATAACGAAGTTAAGTTAATTTTAAGTTATTTTTAGTTTAAAAATGTACCCTCTCAAGTTATTTTTAGGAACATTTTTATTCATTTTTTAGGAGGATTTAGAGGAACTTTGAGGGCTGGACAATGCTCTGTAAATGTCATGTACCCGCGAAGTTTCCTTTTGTTTGAGAATATTGTACATATAGTTACTATTTTGTAGTAATAAAATTAGTGTTAAGGTATTACTTTAATGTTTATCTTAGATTTATTTTTATGGTTTAAGAAATATTTTTTCGCAAAAGTTATTTTTACCCTGAGAAATGTATCTTCCGAAGTAATTTTTAGGAAAATACTTGAAATGGGTATACATTATGCATTTTGATAAATTTTTAGGTGTATATAGGTTAGAGGGGTGGACAGGAACAAAAAAAGAAAATACTTAAGTAAGGGAAGGGTAGAAAAAATAAATATTTAAAAAATTATGAAAACTTATTTTCTTACTTATGAAAACAAATTTGTAACATTTCAGCGACAAGGCAAGAGGAGGACGTGTCGATGGGGGAGGGGGGAGGCAAAAAATAATTAAAATTAAGAGTAGTATACGTAATAAACAATTTTTTTGTTTTGTTGTTTTAACGTTTCAATTTGTTTAGAATATAACCGTCATTTTTCATTTATTTATTCCGATTTTAAGGGATGTGTGAAAACTACCCCTCCTAGAAAAAAACTGAATACAGTTTTTTTTAGAAAATTATTCAAGCTTTAAAATGAGCTATTAAAACTTAAAATCGGTTAAATATTAACAAAGTTACAACTGATAATCCAATTTCATGATAAAAGTTTGGTCCGCCATTTTGATGACGTCATCAAAGAATGATCTGGAGATGCGAGAGATGGTCTCCCGGCAATTTTTGAAGCCTTATTATATCTAGAAAGCGTGTGACAAATTTGGTGCTGATGTCGGGCACTGAAATATATTTAGGCTAATGCCACTGACTATAAATGTTAAAATTTGAGTCAAAATACCAAGTGTGTGGTATAAAATTATTCGTAAAAATCGCCTTTTTCAAATATGCTAATGAGCCACCTTCATTCCAATGGAAAAAATTGAGATATGATTAAAAATACGATTTAGGCATCTTTTAATCGACCAGGACAAAACACGAAAAACATTAGACAATCAAATCTTTTTTCCATGGCTCTTTGACTAAAAATTAGTGTTTTTAACTCAGCCATAGATAACTAGATTTAAATTTAAAATATACGATTTTTTTAAGCGAGAATGTCAAAAGTTGACTTGATATGCCATTCTATTCAGAATGTCATTTTCTATCGAATAAAGTAAAAATATAACGAGGGTGCCATTTAAAAATCGAAAGTTGTAGTCATTTTCGGCGAAACAGGAAATGACCGAAAACAAGTGAATACGTCAATGAATCCTAATTTATGTCGTATACTGACATACCAAATCTCGTTTTTTTTATCTGAGAAAATAAAAAGTTATATAGGTGAATTAGTTTTGAAACGCACCAGGGATAATAACTATAAACTGTTGACACTGTAATACATACATGTTGACACATAATGCATGTTATGTACTTTTTAGGGTAATTAGATATAATTAAAATGAGAATTATACATGATGTTAAAATATAATTACAATATTATTACTCTAAGTCTGGAGCCAAGATTTCTTTATAGCTTAGTTGTATACATAAATTTTATGTTGCATTTTAATTAGCGAATATTATAAAAGGATGTTAACAACTAAATTTATTTCAGTTATATTATCCCAGTTTTTTAGGTTAATGGAGTTCAACCACAGCTACCCGTATAATTTGGTAGCATGTCTACAAATTCTTTTACGCGTTACGACAAAAGTAACATTTAAAAATACCGATAAGATATTGAAAGATGTCATGATGGATCAGTATGAATCTTTGATAGAAGACGGAATAATGCCCTTGTCTCGGTAGTATAATTTTATTATTATAATAAATATACAGGGTGGTCCGAATTGTATTCCGGAAACTTCGGCAGCATATTCTGCAGATAAAAATAAGTAAAAAAGCTTGTGTAAATGTATGTCCTAAAGTGCTTAGTTTCGGAGATACAGGGTGTAGAAGTTTCATTTTTATTTCGATTTTTTCCAAATAATTTCTGAAGTAAGGTCAATATTTGGATGAAAATTGGTGTCTAGAAGTTTTTTGACATAAGAAATTCGGTTTTGATGTCAATATGACTCCTATTTGTAGCGGGCGCCACCTACTCTGGTTTGAAGAGTTATAACTCTTCATCCGTACCTGTATAAAACTACTGAATGAAAAAATGTGTATTTTCGTGATTTTTTACGTAAAAAATCGCTACGAGCAACCGTTCTCAAGATATTTAGAATGGAAATAGTCAATACATGTCATTATTGACAAAAAAATAAACACGTTGAGTAGATAGTTATTTGTCTGAAATAACAAATTTGGGAAATTTTTATTTTTTTAAATTAACAATAAATTTTTCTGCAAAAAAATAATGACAAAACAGTTTCTGTTGAACTTTTGACACAAAAACATTCCAAATTTATGATTTCAGTTTGATAACTATTTAGTCAACATGTTTAATTTATGTCAATGATGACAGGTATTGATAATTTTGATTCCAAATATCTCGAGAACCATTACTCGTAGCGATTTTTACCAAGAGACCTTTTTTACGTAAAAAATATCGCAAATGTATATTTTTTACTCAGTAATTTTATACAGGTACGGACGAAAAGTTGTTAGTCTTCAAACAAGTTAAAAAATAGGTAGGTGGCGCCCTCTACAAGCAGGAGTCATATTGACATCAAAATCAAATTTATCATGTCAAAAAACTTCCAGACACCAATTTTCGTCCAAATATTGACATTACTTGAGAAATTATTAGGAAAAAATCGAAATAAAAATGAAACTTCTACACCCTGTATCTCCGAAACTAAGGATTTAAGGACATACATTTATACGAAGTTTTTTACTTATTTTTATCTGCAGAATATACTGCCGAAGTTTCCGGAATACAGTTCGGACCACCCTGTATATAATATAAGTGTGATAATTGAAATCTTTCAAGTTAAATATCTCGGAAATTGTGCATTTTCGAAAGACAGTTTAAATGGGGCGAATAAAGCTAGCTCTATCTGTAGAAACTCGTTTAGTTAGCGAGAGGAACCATTTTTTTTGCTGGTATAATGACTTCCACGCTAACACCTTAAAAATTATATAGAATCATAAAAATAGGCCCCCTTCTAAAAATACACGTATTTTGATAGCTCAACCGGACTAAAAGTTTAGCTAGAAAATTAGAACATCTTATAAATGAAGATTTAAAAATATTAATGGTATTTTCAGTTCTGGATTTTTACCACCTGAATTAAAACATCTATGTCGCTGTAAAATCAGAGAGTGCCTATGGAATAACTACAATCTACCTCACCGAATTCACGATCTGCCTTTACCAGACCCTCTTCGAAAATATATTGATATTCTAGTAGATTAACTTTTGTTTCATTTTAACAATTATTACTATTTTCAACTTTATATTATAGTAATTACTTGAATGCATCCTCCGAAACGTTGATCTTTCCTGGTACCCCTGTAGTTTCTGTCCTGCTAGTTAGATTGACAGTGTTGCCATACAAGCAATATCTCGGCATCCGTCGACCAATAACTCCGGTGACAACCTCGCCGCAGTGAATGCCAATAGTAATTTTCTGTAAAATTCCAATAAGAAAATTTAAATTATAATTTTCTCACTTTAAGCATTGAGATACTATCTCCATGCTTAAAATGTATATACAGGGTGTCCCCATATTCTATGGACATAGAACTACTATGTATTTTTGAATTCAAAATAAGTTTATTAGACACAATTTACCTCTATACAAAAGTGCTTCGTTTGTCCGTTAGAGGGCATCAAACTTTAAAAAGATAATCACATTTTTAATGAAACACATTCTCCGATATTTTAAGAAACAAAACATATATTTTAAGAAAACTTAAAAATATATAGGCAAATATAAGATAAGCCTATATATTTTTAGTTTTTATTCACAAAATCAACAGTAATATAGAAAAACAGAAGAGTTTAAATTCACAAAAACAATCCTAGATAATTGAGATGGCATATTAATGTATTTTGTACCAAAAATACGTGGTATTTAAATGCAGTGCTGTCAAGAATCGCAGTGAAATGAAGTGTTGTATAGTGTACAGTTGCACTTTTAGGTAAAGTGATAAAACGACGCTCTAACCTAATTATATCGATCTGCTATCTATCAGAGTCCCGTTTTCTAAAAGGTAAGTTTTTTACTTTTAATTTGAATTTTCCAAATCGTTTTTAGATCTTTCTAGACGATGTGTCAACACTGGGCGCCGAACAAGATGTGATTCTGGTAATTGCTTGGTATTTGGGGCTCATTATCGATTTCTGCCGGCGGCTCTCATAATGTTGCCATTATTTTTTTAAATTTTCAAAGTTAAATAACTCTGTTATTATCAATTTTTTTAAAAATGGTAAAGAGAAAATATGTTTCTTTTGGCGAGATCTATAGTCTATACAACAACAAGATCCTTGACAGTGATAGATGTGTCTGTCATTTTAATTTCAAAGTAGTTTATTATATTTTACAAAGAATTAAGTTGGTACAAATGGAACGCATAACAGGAAATTAATATATTTAAAATTTGACTGATAAGTCATTACCAGTCATTACTTCAAAATATTATGAAAAAAAACTGCATAAAACTGAAAAAATGTAAGCGAGCTATTTTATTAAAAACGGTAGGGGTTAATACAAAACAAACAAGAACAAAATACCACATCCCTAAAAAATATAAAAAGAACTATTTCTTACTTTCACGCTTCAAGAAACTTCCCGCATTGTTATTATATTTATCAATATAACTTATGATCATAAATATACAAATTTGTATTATTCCACAGGAATAATTAAAACAAACTATTTTATAAATATTAACACTTACCAAATTTTATATCTTAAAGGATTTATTAATTAACTTTAATCTTAATTTTTTTAAACCAGTACCTTTTGACATTATTTTTCTACAGTACTAAAATCCATTATTTACCTATCGTATGATGTCGATATTTTACAGCTACTCCAGTAGTATATGTTGGGCAGCGAGTATTATCTATAAACTGTGCTCTGGGTCTACAGTTAATTTTCCCTCGATTTTTCCTCCACTTGACTTCAAAAGACACAAAATACACGTAATAACACGAATCAAAATGCATCATCTTCCAAAACGCAGATATTTGACATAAGTTGACACAAAATTATAACCTATAATTTGGCAAGACTTTGACAAGCCTCAAAAATCTGAAGGCGAGTTCATACGCATCGGCATCCGTTTGTCGTACATTGTTCCGTCAAACCAATAAAATTGATATATTATGAACTGTCATTTTTGAAATAAACCAATAAAACTGGTTAAAAACAACAAGAGACGACGCATGGCGGATTTATATTTAAACCCATCCATTGGTAACTTAAAAAATATTAGAAACTTTTCTTAGTAAAATAGATTGGTATGGGACGTCATCTGCTTTTCTTCTGTCATCGTCTGTCGAAATCTCACCTGAGAAAAAAAAAACCGTGTATACCACCCCTTTAAATATTTGCACTTATTTCTGGGACACCCTGTATAGAACACATATGCATTACTAAAAATAGTTTTGGCTTACCACTGGTTTTCCATCGAAGAGGACGGTTTTCCCCAGGTCCATCATGTCCAGAGCTAGACGAGCTATATTCCTAGCATGATTAGGACATGGCTCCGGTAATCCACTGACAGCCATATACTTGTCGCCCACAGTCTCTACCTGTACGAAAATCAAATTAAATTTATTATTTTATTCTACAAAAAATTGATAATACGATACGAAAATTATTAAATATTTCAAAACGAACCATGCAATTTTTTGTCTTCCTCTTGCGAGTCCCTTGGGATAACAGGATTGGTCAGAATTAAAATGGATCAAGTCCAATTTTCTCATATTTTAAGATAATCGTCTTTATACGTATATAGAATATTGTTTTTTCCAGTACCGAAATGAATCAAGTCTATAGGTAACTCTCATTTTCTCTGTAAAATTACCTTTAAGGACATGATTCAGCTAACTTCTAAACCCCTCAATTAAAACTACTATTATTAAACTATTTAAAAACCTAATTTAGAGAATTGAAGATGGCTTGTTTTTCAAATTAATATATTTTTAGAAATAAGCCATAACTGTTTTCAATAGTTCACGTATTAGTAGTTATACATATTATAGTTAAGTCTTCTGGGTATACAGGGTGTCCCAGGCTGAGCGTGCATTAGAAGTTTCTAGAGAACCACAATATCTAGATCGGAGATTTTTTACACATCATTGTTTTACAACGAGATCTATCGATTAAAAATATTTTCAATATGGCAGCACTTCTGGAAATACCGGAAGTTTACAGCAACTTTCTTATTTTAAATGGGTGCCTCCATATTTTATTACATATTTAAATTCTCTGTAAAATTCTATGAATATCGATGTTAAACACTGTATATCTAACATTTTATCCGTTTTTGAGAAAAAAATTATGTAAAATTTTCGGACGAAAAAAACTACCTATCAAAAAAATGTGTATAGCCTAAAGGTCAAATTTAGTGATTACCACTGCCACTGTGACATAAAGAGAAGACATGTGGCTATCTATTTCAAAAATTAAATTGTTCAAATGTCATATAATAATGGCGGTAGTTGTCATGAAATTGAGTGATTAAAAAATTATCATAAATCATTTTTTTCAAATGGAAACCCACTTTTTTATTTCACTAATGAAACGGTTTTTTAATTCGTTACTTTTTAACTATACATGTTCCTATACCTAAAATAAATCGTTTTTAAGTTATTTAAGATTGAGTTTGAAAACGTATATTTTTCTTGATTTTATCTAGCTTCCTTTGATATTAAGTGTCAAACAGTCAGACCATTTATTTCCATCTGTCAGAAAACGAATTATTTGAATTTCCTATAGTATAAATACTGCTTGCTTAAGAGTTTAAAAAGTGTATTTATAAAAATATATCTCGTGTTTTCGGTCTTTAGTGATACCTAATAGTTGATATAGTCTGTGAAACGAATAACTTTGAATTTGACAGTTCCCGCGAGCTTTTCTAGTGTTAATTTTATAAGGTTAGCAACTTGCGGCCATGCTGACGCAATGTCTCTAATAGAACAGCCTCAAAAATATATAATGACATATAAATATATAATGACACATCATATAAAATGACAGCGATCTTTATTTCATAGCCATCGCTGAAGCCTTTTTTTCTATGATATTGTATTATTTGCAAATATAATTTTTCGAACGTTGAGACTTGAAAAATATACATATAAATTTTGTATAGTAAGTAATGCAAATAATAATACATCACTATTAGTATAGATATTGAATGTTTTTTGTTAAATTAGATCGATTTTCAAACCCCAAAATTTAAAATATATTTTTCATTTTACCCATTATCTTATGTACCTATTCGTTATTCGTATATTGTAAAACATTTGCTGCATTTGCATGGTTCATCGTTTTTATTTGCCAAAGTATTTATTACTATAAATATGTATATACTAAAGCTGGAGTCTCATGCATCCGAAATCCGATGGTACGACATCCGAAATTTGAAGTTATCCTGTGAAATAAAAAATGCCTGTCACATACATCTGAAAGTTCGTTCCGAAATTTGACACTTTTGACATTTTTCTGCTGCACTGTATAGAGATTCATGTGATGTTTTATTGGAGAAACAATAATAAAAATAACTTCCTCGCCAAATATCCCGAAATTGCCCACTTCCCACTAAACTTGTTTTTAAAAACAAATGTTTTCAAAAAAAGTGAGGTTAAAAAACACGCGATATCGTACAAAAGTTAAACAAAATTTAACTTTATACGACGTCGGACGATTAGTTAAAATTATCGGATAAAAATTGGTGTCAAAATATTTCGACCAATAGGAGCACCGTCGGATCGTCGTGTCATCGGATTTCGGATGCATGAGACTTCGGCTTAAGGGTCGGCATTTCTGGTCTTGGGTGCCGGTTTTCATGTATACGAGTAGTACGGCCAACCCACGCTTAGTAAAATAAGATGTACTGAATAAAGACAGAAGGCGAGTATTTTCCCAAGCGCATGGAATCTAGCGTCAGATTAAGTAGTTATGTAATAAATACTTCGTATTTTTGCTTACTCCGACTTACTAGATTGCCATAACGACTCACTCCTATACATGTAAACTCCGACCCAAAGGTTCGCTTGTCAGCGAGGTATATTGTATTTATTATCTGTATATTATGTATATTTTATGTAAACTATATCAATTTTAAAATACAAACCAAAAATACGAAGAATAATTATGTTTTCCATGTATTCTACAACATATTTATTAATCCGTAGTATCTAACTACCGTGACGTCCTAGATATCGCTCCGAGGCTGTTCTATTAGAGACGGCATTGGTCTGATATTTAGAAATGTCAAAAGTTGATGACATTTTAGTTTTGACAATTATGACATTTCGTGCTGAATTTTGCAAGAAGAGGAAGAACTGTTACTTGTTTTATTATTTTCCTTTTCTATCTCACGAAAGTAAAAAGAGTTACCTATCTGATTCGTTCAGGCACTCAGTTTAAAGAATATCAGTAACTCTTTTGACAGAGGGATTTTATATTTGCTATGTTGGTAAAAAAAAACGGTCAAAATTCAAAGTTATTCATTTTATAGACTATATAAGGATATTATTAATAATATTCCGTATGATCGAAAAAAAACAGCGCAAAGTTGGCTCGCAAATGATGCTGCTTTTTAAACAAAGCGTCACAATATGACGTGGCCTAGATCTATTGTTTTATATCACTTGACGTTTAAAGTCATAGGCTACTGGTTAAAATCAAGAAAAATATACGCTTTAAAACTTAATCTTAAATAACTCAAAAACGATTTATTTTAGGTATAGGAATATGTATAGTTAAAAAGTAACTAATTGAAAAACCTTTTCACTAGTGAAATAAAAAAGTGGGTTTCCATTTGAAAAAAATGATTTATGATAATTTTTTAACCGCTCAATTCTATGACAGCTGCGGCCATTATTATATGACATTCCAATAATTTAATTTTTGAAATAGATAGCCACATGTTTTCTCTTTATGGCACAGTGGCTGTGGTAACCACTAAATTTGACTTTTAGGCTATACAAATTTTTTTGACAGGCACTTTTTTTCGTTCAAATTTTTTAAATAATTTTTTTCTAAAAAACTGTTAATGTAAGATATAAGATGTTTAATATCAAAATTCATAAAATTTTACAGAGAATTTAAGTACATAATAAAAAATGGGGGCACCCATTTAAAATAAGAAAGTTGCTGGCAACTTCCGGTATTTCCGGAAGTGCCGCCATACTGAAAATATTTTTAGTCGATAGATCTCGTTGTGAAACTATGACGTGCAAAAGATCTCCGAGCTAGATGTTGTAGTTCTCTAGAAATTTCTAATGCACGCTCAGCCTGGGACACCCTGTATATGTATATATCGGGTGCGTCTCAAAAGTGGCTCACCCATACACACAAAAAAAGAAATACCTCATCGATGTAAACATATTTTCTCAAAATTTTTTACTAAATTTAAATAAACGGATACTTTTTTCAAGTATATATGTTTTGTTTAAATATATGCATTTGCTTAAAAGCAAAATAATAATTTTTCATTATATTTTCTTAATTTAAAATAATATTTTTGTTTAGAAATTCTGATAGTATTAATTAAAGTTTTAAATATACTGCTTCCAAAATAAGTTACATTTTCTATTTGAAATACCAGTCTATTTCAATGAACTTTATTAGGTTTCGATCAAGAAAAATAAAATATTATTTTAAGAATCTTATATATTTCATTTAAAACAAATCTTTGCTTTAATTGTTAAGTATAAGATAACAATATTATTCAAATAAAAATAACTAAGGAATTAAAACAGAGTTTTTCTTAAAATAAAAATATTTTATAGACATTTTGAAACTACAATGTTTCTGTTTAAATATATTTTGCTGCACAAACCAATTAAAAAATAAACATATTTACTAGGATTAAATTTTTTTTTTATTAATTTTGTCTTGAGAATTAGCAAATTTCATTTCACCCCTTCCCATCACTTGTTTTCTAAACCTGCTTCAGGCAAACCTTTCATAGGTATTTTATAGTTGAGTTTTGAGTTGAACAGTTGCTTGATGGGACGCGGTAGGGGTTGTGGTAGGGGTGTTGCATGGGTGTTGCTGTTGCGTTTGGTGCCGTGGTGCGATTAGTTATTAATTATGGAAAAAAAGTTAGTAGTTAAAAAGTAAGTAAAATACTATAATAAATAAAAAAAATTAATACTCTTTTTACTCAGCTGAACTCGCTTTTGAATTTACATAAGCAAAAACCAAAAATAATTATTTTTTAGTCGACTTCAACAAGATGAGTACAATTCTTTGGCTGCTAAAATAGTGCTCCTTTTCCCACAAAGCCAATATGAGTGTATTACTGTCCCACTGTGAAAAGAGCATGTAGTCCATTTCACAAGACAGTATGGCTAAGGGCAAACTAGTGAATCACTGCAGAAATATTTTATTTAGATCTGGTGATACCCAAAAACAAAGAAAAAGGCCAGATGACGAAGACTTTTGGTATTGTCCCGAAACAAAAAAAAGATAATTTAGAAGGTATAGCATTACAATAGTAAAATTTAGTTGAAATTAGCAGAAAGCAATCATTTTTAGATACATTTAAAGAAGAAATTGCATAGCTGCAACATAATACCGAGCCATGGAATAAAGTAATGGAATATTGGACTCGAACCTGGGAAATTCGATCCACATCATGTGACATGTCATCCTCAGTGTCGCAATACCTTGCAAAATGACCAAACCAAACCAATGTTTATGCTGTACATACTAAAAATAAACTTTTAACAGAGATATTTTTGCCTTACTTTAAGAATTTTATTTTACTCAAATGAAACAAAAAGAAAATTGTTCGGAAAATTGAAAAGTCTCAAATTTAAAAATATATTTATTCAGACTAAGTAAAAACTTTTATCGCTTCAATTCGTTCGTATCTTAAAACAAACTTTTACCCTTGTTTATATCATATACAAGGCTTTTACTAATATTCATTTTGAGAAATAAGTTACTCAAATGCAGATTGAATATACTTTAATCAAGAAAACCATTACACAACTTTAAATTCGAGGCATTTCAAACAGAGTATATGCAATTTTTATTATAGAATTAGTATATTTTCGCTTTAAATGATTTGATATCTTAAAACAACAATCGTTTGTGTTTTAGATATAGTAATACTAAATATTTAAATCTAAAATTTTTATTCTTGTTTTATAAAATAAATCATTCATTAGGAGAATATCGCAGCATTAAATTTATCATTCTAAATAATTAGTATAAATATATATTTCTTTGCTTATATACAAAGTTCAGATTTATTCTATTTGAGTATTAAATGTTCAAAATAAGAATATTCTTTTTTGTGTGTATAACTTTTTTATTTTTTCAGATAAGAAAACGAAATTTGGTGTGTGAGTATATGACATAAATTAGTATTGATTGACGTATTCCATTGTTTTGGGTCACTTCCTGTTTCACCGTAAATTAATACAACTTTTGATTTGTAAATAGCGATGGCACGGCGGCGGCGTAGAGAAATTCACCTTATTCATTTTATAAATGACTATTTTTTACAATGTTTTTAGCATTGTCTTATTACCAATTTTGCAATATGTAACATACAATTTGAATAATATTGGCAAAATAAAATAGCGAAATAGTCGACTTGCTTTTAAATCAACTTACTCTTAATAAACCTGTTACAAAACAAAACAATAAGAAAGTTAATACCACCAATATGTTAGGCTTTAGGCGAACCAATTTACAATTATAATTTTACTATTATTCTATAAAATCAGCTATATCTTTTTAAGTACTTCTATGTTACAGTATTTATCCATTAAAAAACTTCTTTGATATCTCATGTGCTTATATGGCTCGTTTATAGATAAAATACGAAACAATTATTTTAAGCGTTAAGGGCATGTACAGCTTTTTAAAAGCGCTTAATCACTATATGTATATTATATAAAGAAGTCAGAATTACACAGTACAGATTATGTAATTCTGCATTTTCTACTTGCCTTTTATGGCACCAAGGCTATTTTTTTCCTTCGTCAAATACACCTGCAATTATTTAAAGATTCTCTTTATTTGTGTTGGATTCTTTTCCTATACGCACTTACATTATTAGATACACGCTTTGTATTATTTCGTAATGAGGCGGTATAAAAATAACGTATAGGTACATTCATTATTACTGCACACCTTATAAATGTTGGGATTGCGTTTTGAATCGGTGAGATCATCAAACTTGGTGTAAAGCTCGTTGAGCAGCTTCACGATCTTCATGGCTCCCTGAGAATCGGCATTGGCTGCACAGTAATCTGAAAAACATAAAATAATTATATTTCTGTATTGCAGAAGCAAACTATATTAAGTCACAAGACATAGTTTTGAGAAAATCGAATTTAAAGTTCCTTTTGAAGTTATTTCCTTATTACTCGGTTATTTTTAAATCTATGATTGTAATATTTGGCATATGAACAACTTATTTTTAACGTAAATAAAATAATGTAAAACAATTTTTTAAATAAAGTATAGGCTTGGTGCATTCTCCGCCGGTGCTGCCACCATCAGGGAATGTCGTAAACAACCGGAATATACAAATACACGGGTTTAAACAGCGAGTATACGAGTAAATTTATTATATAATTATTCTAGTATTAGGAACTAAAATTCTATCTAAAATGCTTAGTTTCGGAGATACAGGGTGTAGAAGTTTCATTTTTATTTCGATTTTTTCTCAATAATTTATGAATATTATATAGAATATCTAAATATTGACGTTACGTCAATATTTAGATGAAAATTGGTGTTTGGGAGTTTTTTGACATGAGAAATTTGATTTTGACTGATGACAATATCACTCCCATTTGTAGGGGGCGCTACCTACATATGTTTTAACTGTTTTAAAGAATAACAACTTTTCGTCCGTACCTGTATAAAACTACTGAGTGAAAAAATATACATTTCGCGACTTTTACGTAAGAAATGTCTCTTATTGACAAAAAATAAACATGTTGAGTTGATATTTGACTGAAATGATAAATTTGGAAACATTTTATTTTTTTAATTTAATCATAAATTTTTCTTCGAAAAAATGATGACAAAATAGTTTCTGTTGAACATTTGGCATAAAAACATTTCAAATTTATGATTCCAGTTTAATAACTATTTAGTCAACATATGTTTAATAGGTATAATGTGAATGAGGACAGATATTGGTAATTTCAATTCCAAATAACTCCAGAAGCATTACTCGGAGCGAGTTTTAGAAGGAGACCTTTTTTACATAAAAAATGTCGTAAATGTATATTTTTTACTCAGCAGTTTTATACAGGTACAGAGGAAAAGTTATTACTCTTCAAACAAGTTAAAAAATATGTAGTAAGAGTCATATTGACATCAAAATCAAATTTCTCATGTCAAAAAACTCTCAGACACCATTTTTCATCCAAATATGGACGTTACTTCAGAAATTATTTGAAAAAAATCGAAATAAATATGAAACTTCTACACCCTGTATCTTCCAAACTAAGCTTTTTAGAACATACATTTATAGGAACTTTTTTACTTATTTTTATCTGCAGAATATGCTGTCGAAGTTTCCGGAATACAGCTCAGGCCACCCTGTATATTTAACGATATTTCTAATCTTTTATTATCTTTATTTTTAGTTGTTAATTTACTCGTATTGATAAATTAAATAACGGCTAATATATTTCTATGTACGGAGCAGTCAATGTATAGTTACCGGAAAATCCCACAATGCCGGAGAAAAGAACTGTGACTGCATCATATTTCTTGGCTGGAACAGGTCTGTTGTGACGCAGTTCAGTTGCTACGGTGATTGGTAACACTGAATATAGCAGTCTGTAAATATATAAAATGCTTTATTCTGAGAGAATTGTAAAACAAAAAAATAATTAAAAAAATTCAATAACAGAATTATTGTAAAGTCTGTCACAAGAATCAAGGAAAACTTTGACAGTATAGGTACTCCTGAATAAAACGTTAACTCTCACTGTCATGTTTCTATGAGATAAAACTTATATTTTCATGTCATACCTTATGCAATCTCTCTTCGTTTTGTATTGAAATCTTAATATAAAATTTTTATACATATTTTTGTCTTTGGTCCACTTGACAAACATATGTTATTCAAAAAAAAAAATTAAAAGTCAATAAATAAATTAGACATAATTAACTATAATGGCGAGAAATAAATAACATTATATTTGCAAAATTTCAAAGTGAAATTACCGTTTAAAAAAGATATCCGTTCAATAGCGTTTCTGAATGAAAGTAAATTTTAAAAAATAATAAAATAACTATTACAATACTAATTTTATGTATACTTTCACAGAAAAGAACTTAAGTCACGAACTCATATGAACATTAAAAATTCTACTATTTTTTTAAATGTCAGAGTCGCTAGCAGATTGTTTTTAGACAAAGATTGTTTAGGCGTTAATAGTTATTTTTTATACAAGACGATAAAATGTTATTTTATCGTCGACCGAAAAGATTAATTCACGAGCGATGAAATCGCGAGTGAATTAATTTCGGGACACGGTAATGCAATTTTATCGTGTATAAAACAATATTTTTTTCCATAGCGAGTTACGTTTTAAAACATATTCAGAAGTTATTATTTCAAGCAATTTATTACGAGTAGAAAAAATATTGTGCTGGGTTGGCGTTGGTTTCTATCATAGATAAATGCAACAAGTTTAGATTGGAAAGCCCGTAAAAATTTTAGGTCGCGAAATTATTTTGGGTCGCGACCGTTATACGCGATCTGGCGCTGCTATAGCGGTCGCTAAGAACAACCGCAAACAAAAGCAGAAATAATTTTCTCTTGTCAAAGTCAGAATCTTCAAAAATCATAATAATCTTTCAAAATCTAAACCGCTCTCATTAAAGAAATTCCGAAAAGTGTTTATAGCGTCCATTTTCAAAGTATTTATTGCTATCTTGTGAGTTTAATACAAGTTTTATTTACTCCAACCGGTGATAATTGTGAAAAAGTGGCATTAAAAACTTAAAAAGCTGTGCTATGAACTGTGAACTGCAAAAACCATCGTGGATCGTGGCATAACGTCGGTTTTCAATGTTTCATAGGTATTTCATACATGCGTCCTTATATAAAATAAAGTTTCTTGTATGCAACACACTGTATTTTATTTATAAAATTAAACGAAAATAATAATAAATTTGAATAAACAATATTTGGCGATATAGTTCCGGAAAAAGCCGAACCGCTCCGAAATTTTCAAAAGTTTTGGGTCGCGACCGTTGCAAGAATAGCGCCAAATAGTGTTTACATTGTGCTTATGGGCACTTTCCAATCTAAACTTGTTTCATTTATCTATGGTTTCTATGTAATTTGACAAATAAATAAAGCTGTCGCTGTAGTCAGTTTTGAGTCAATATTTTTTAATTCTCTTTCGTGTCGATTGCTGATTGAATTGGAACCAGAAATGGCTCAAAACGACATAAGTTAATTACCAACAGATATTCAGGCTGAGGCGACAAATGCCATATCCAAACTACTTTCATTTAAATCCCGAATAACTTATGAAAAGGAATACAAAAATTTTCAAAAATGGAAGCAATTAAAAAACGTGAGAGAAGAAATATAGTTTTTAACCTATCTTCGTTGTTAAAGTATCATTTAATCTACCCTTGCGGTTAAAGTACTATTTTATATTCTATTTTTGATAGATATAAGGCAATTGTAACAGTTGCTATGAAAAAAAAAATGTTTTTATATTGTCAATCACGTCGCAAAAATTAATACCTTTGTGGGGTTTGAAAAAAAAAATATTTCCCCTTCATCACTTTGTACTACAATATTTCACTAATGGTTCACATTTGATCTAACGTTTATAAAGGGTGAGTTTTAAATAAGTGCAAATATTTTTTTATGCGTGGTATACCGGATGCGTCTAAAACGTGTTTCACCCCTATAACTTTTTGATTTTTTTAGATAAAAAAAACGAGATTTGGTATGTTAATATATGACATAATTTAGGATTGATTGACATAGTCAATTGTTTTCGGTCACTTCCTGTTTCACCGGAAATGACTACAACTTTTGATTTTTAAATGGTACCCTCAGTATTTTTTTTCCTTTATTCGATAGAAAATGATACTCTCAATATAATGACATATCATAGATCATCAACTTTTGAAATGTTCGCACATCGTTTATTTGACATTGTAACATGCGGTTGATAACGACAATTTGACTCGGAATACTATTGTGTTGTATCTACCAAATTATTCGTAAAAAAATACTTATTCCAAATATGCTAATGAGCCACCCTTGTTCCATTTGAAAACATTGTGATATGATTAAAAATACCATTTGGAATCTTTTAACCGGCCAGGACAAGACACTAAAAACATTTTTCAATCAAATGTATTTTACCAAAGCTTAAAAAATAGTGTTTTAACACAACTATGGCACTCTAAATTAAAATTTAAAATGCAAGTTTTTTTTAAGCGAGAGTGTCAAAAGGTGACATATGATGAATATGTCATTCTATTCATATTTTAAAAAATACCGAGAGTGCCATTTTAAAATCAAAAGTTGTAGTTATTTCTGGTGAAAGAGGAAGTGATTAAAAACAATTGAATATCAATCCTACTTTATCTCATATACTAACATACCAAATCTCGTTTTTTTTATCTGAAAAAAAAAAATAAAAAAGTTATAGAGGTGAGCCACTTTTGAGACGCACCCGGTATTTCGACCACAGGAATGAGTGTTTAAAAAAAAAAAAGATGTTGAAAATCGTGCATTTTCTTTTAAATTTTCTGTATAATTTAGAAAACTTTTTAGAACTGCCTGTTCAGCGCAAATTTTCCCACATTATAATTTCTTTAATCTCTGATATTACCCTGATTACTTCTTTATTCTATGGTTACGGCACTAAAAGGGGTGCAAATACAGAAAAATCCGGTGGCTCTCAAATTTTTTTAAAAATAAATCATTTTTTTAAATTTTTAAACCTGTATAGCTCGGTTATTATGGACTTAATTGAAAAATGGCAAAGAGAAAATATGTTTCTTTTATCGTGATCTACCAGCCGTGAATATTTGCACTTACTTAAGACTCACCCTGTATAACACAATTCGCTTTATTATTAACAAGAAGTCACACCTTTTTACGTTTTTATTTTGAAACATCCTATGTATTCTTGTTGGAAAGACTATTATATCCTTACAGGGGAGAGTCGCTTTTATGTATGGAAACGGTCGATTATTAGGTAAAATATAGGAGGTACCAAAAAAAGTTAAATATAAAAGTTATATAATTTATAAATATCTATTAGCGGGTAATAAATTTAAGTATACAGGGTCGGTCATAAAGTCGTGGCACATCAAAGTTCCATTTTTTTAAATGAAACCCACTGTATATTATTACATATTTCGGTTTTTCCTTCAATTCTAAGCAAAAATCGAAATACACACAATGTACCTCAAAGCAACCGTTTCCGAGTAATTGAGTTTTGAAAATATCACTTAAACAATTTTTTGATTTAATTAATTTCGATATGTTCAGTTTCATTTAACGATGCCAATTTGCCGAAACTGTGATAGTTAATAATATTTGACATTAGTTCTCAAGTTAGCATTTATAGATGTATAAAATGAGATAGTAGTAAGTGTGGAAATTACAAAATTTTCGTTTAACATTTCAATTCTTCAAATTAATGTACATTGTGTATTACGATTATTGTTTAAAATTGAAGGAAGAATTGAAATATGCAATAATATACAGGGGGTTTCATTAAAAACATAAAGTTTGATGTGGCACACACAACTTTCTGACTGACCCTGTATACTTAAATTTACTAGTAGCTAATAGGAATTTAAAAACCCATTACAACAGTAACACAGTTTCGGCAGAATGGCATTATTAAATCAAACCAAACACATCGAAATTAATTAAATTGTATTATAAAAGTCAATAACTCGGAAACGGTTGCTTTGAGGTACATTGTGTTATTTCGATTTTTGCTTAGAATTGAAGGAAGACTTGAAATATATTATAATAAAGGGGGGGTTCTATTTAAAAAAATGAAACTTTGATGTGCCACTACTTTATGAACGACCCCATATACTTAAATTTATTACTCGCTAATAGATATTTAAAAATCCTATAACTTTTGTTTTTAACTTTTAATGGTACCTCCTATATTTCACTTATTTACGTTTATATAATATACCATACGAAAACATTTCCTACTAGTTCTATTATATTCATTATAATCATCTTATCTAAATGTAACACGATATCTTCTCATTCATAATTTTATCTTATTATTAATTTTAAAACTAAAAAAGAAAGTGACGTAGCACTTTCGATCCATGGGAACAAAACTTGTCCCAGATTAAACCAAAAGAATTAATTACAGCATATCGATCAAATTTTACATTTAAATCTCTCTAGATCTTACAAAATCTCAGCGTCAACGACACTTGACTCGAAAATCGATTTTATGGGTCTAAAAATTAACAGTCATTCATTTCGGTTTGCCCAATTTCTCTAAAACAAATATTAGCAGGCGATACATAACATACAAATTACATCTGCACAGGTCTCTATCATGTAATAGATATAAATATTAGCCTAAAGAAATCGGGACATAATGAAATAACAGCAGAGAATAATGTATTAACCCTATATTAGGTGAACGGCATTTAGTAATTTCTTTGGTCGCGTGTTCTGTGTTCTACATATGTAGACTAGTTTTTTTTCGTTAAGTAACAAGTTATGTCACAAATAATTAAAAATGTATGAAATGTGATTATATAGTGGCTATAAATTTCAATACTAAATTTATTCTGTATCTACACATACGCACAGAGTATTGTAGCCATAGAGTTAAAAATATTGTAGCTAAACGATTAGATTTTTACAAACTGTAAGTTTTTCGTTGAACGACTATTAAGGTACGCGCACACTGACCAGCGCCTCACTCGCCGCACGAATCGCACTTTTTTTCTTGTCGCGCACCCTGAGCCGTACCGAACGCGCCGCACGCGCCCCATTATTCGCTATTTTGTTTCTTTTTGCCCCTACTACACCTGTATTTGCCAATCGAATTTCTCATCAGTTGCTTCCAGAGTCCTGTCTACGGTGATAAGCGTGTTTTTTAATATTTCTCGACAATGAATGACAACGAACAAGAAATAATTATAAGCTCCTTGCTAATAGAAGAAGAAGAAATCACGAGAAAGAATCGAAAGTTATAGGTTCACAATATTTGCAAAAATCCACATTACTTCCATATTTAATTGAGGATGAACTAAAAATTTTTCAATATGAGCCATGAAAAATTTGCGAACTTTCTTAGCATATTGAATTTCTAATCTCCTCTTCGGCTACCTACGTAGAGTAGAGTGATGGAAGGAATTGCGTGTGACGTCAGCAGCACTAGCCGCATTTATCGAAAATCATTCTGGTCCAACAATGCTGGCCGCATTTTCGTCGATGCGATTCGTGCGGCTCTGGCTAGTGTGCGCACCTTCATTGAAAGTAACACAAACAATATTTTTTTTCGGTCGATGCGGCGCGTGCGGCTCTGGTCAGTGTGCGCGTACCTTTAGAGTCACAGTTTAAAAATATTTTTACAAGGTACAGAGTGTCCAGAATAAATAAAAAATATCAAAGTTGTATTTTTTTAATGCAACACCCTGTATATTATTACATTTTTAGTTTCTACGATTAAAATAAAGGTAAATTTGATTAAGGTTTCTCACACTTAAACCTTACAGTTCTTGAAATATTTTCAAGTTTTTAATATTATTAAATATTTACTACAATATCAGTTATTTGGTGATGCAATAATAAAAATAATACTACGTCATACAGAGTGTACAAAATTTACTTTAAATAATTTCTAGGTTTAAACGGCACTAACTTGTTTAATTAAAATGGAATACCCTGTATATTTAGGAGAATCAGATGCATAATGTAATTGTCTATCAAATTGTATTATACCATTTTTCATCCCTTCAAGTTTCCGTAGAAAATTCATTTTCTCATAATTTAGACCTCATTTATTAATATACCTGGAATATTGACATTTTAGATTGTTTTTAAAGCAACAAATGTACAAAATGTACAGACGCTAAAAACGATAATATTACTAACCCATTTGTATACAAAAATAAAACTATTTAAATCTTTATAAAAGACAATAATTAAAAAATATACCACCATGACTTCTGATGATTGACTAGTAGTAATTTTTATTATTATTAAAAATATATTTATATTTTTAGGTGTCTTATAAAATGAAAAAAGTTACGATGATGAAGTGGCATTTATCCTCAAATGAATCCCTGAAAAATTAAAAATGATTCTACATTATTTCTTTTTCTTCCGAATATCTTCAGAAGTAAGTATTGAGTTATAAGTAGTGTTAGTAGACTTACTTAATTATATAAACAAATTTACGGATAAGGTATTTCTTAAAATAAAATTATCAACAATTTGATCAGAGATGCGCATTTATAAAAAAAAATATTTTCTTAAATGTAAAATTTGACACCGATTGCAAACATTTTTACATCCATCATACGTTTATGCATCAAAGACTGCCATACATTGTCTAATTATCTGCGAACATTTTGTAGAGCCGAATATACATTTTTTTTACAGTACTGGTCAGTCTTCTTCTTCTCAGAGTCCAGTTCCCTGTAGGTCTGCTGTAATTTGTCTGTCAAGATTTCCAAGTTTCTTGTCAATTTGTAGTCAGCCTCAAACTGTTCGGACATCAAAACCAGGTCTCTGGTTGCGTCATGTAACGGTATGTCACTGATATACAATCCTCGCCTAAAAAATAAAATGTTTAACTAATTACAAATATATCAGAACGATATTTCCATTGTGAGGAACATGTACTGGAGAAAATAATTCGGTATTAAATTAACCCTTAAGCGGTACAGAGTGGTATGTCAGAAACCTAGGGTTGCCAACTGTCCTCTGTTCCAGAGGACAGTTCTCTTTTTGATCTCATTGTCCTCTTTTCTCTCACGGATTGAAAAAGTCCTCTTCGAGAGGTGTCTACCGGACTACTTTTTAGCGATTATGTATATATTTCTTATACATTTTTGGATATTCTATGGTTTTCGTTACTTATTTGTTTGTTTTATTATAGACATATATTAAAATTAAGTTAGGTATGTACTAATTTACCATAAATACATATTAGAAAATTTGTATTGATGGCCAATGACAATTTTTTCCAAATGGTTGACGTTAGCACCATAAATGCATATGTACCTATATTATACACCAAAGCCATACAAATCGATTTTCTTAAACATCCAGTAAAAGCTATTACAAATCAAATAATGGAAAAAAGTTGCTCAACTAAAAAATACCTAGAAAACTAAGACTTCGGGTGAATATTGAAAGATATCTACAACAAAAGCTGAAAAGGAGTGGCTAGAAATGAGAAGTCGTTGCTCTATGTGCTCTTACAAAATAAAAAGAAACATTGAGTATCTCTGTACAGTACATTACTGTCTTTAGTGTATTAAAACATAATTAAAATTACACACCAGTGCCCTTTAAACAAAAATATAACTATAGTAGGTTAATATCACTCATTGGTGATTCCTGACCAAATTTTAGTTCCTTTTAAGAGTAGGAGTCATACAAAAAAATGTGTTTTATTAGAATTCTAGCTACATCTATATTCCAAAACAAAAACTGATAAAATATATAGCATAATTATCTTTACACTTTCATTACTCTTCTTTTAAATTTCTATAGCACGATTCGCTTTACACTTGATTGCGACTATTTTTAATTTAAATAGCTACATGGTACATTATTTTTTAATATCAATCACTTTAAAATGCTACAACGCTTCATAGATCACGAATTTATAGAAAACAATTATTGCTAATGAGCAATTTATATCAGCCGTAATAAGTTATCTACACGAAAACTATAGAAAACACTTTCTCTATTATTATTTATATTGTGAATGTTTTTTATTAATAATATTTATTGCACTTGGTCAAAGTGACTAGGTTTAACATACTTAGATGACAAAGATCTATCACCAAATTTTATCATATAATCAGACTCATCAAAGACTTTTAACAAATGATTCAATTTATTTGGGTAATTGAAACAAGGTGTTGTTAGTATAAAAATTTTTACATGAAGCCTTGTGGTAGTCATTTGTAAAATTTGTTTAACTCGAATTAGGTAAAACTCCTTCTAGGTGTGATGTGACAATTCAGGAAAAGAAGAAACCTAAAAAAAGTTTCGTAGGGCCGTCTAACTGAGAACTAGAGTGTTCTTGCATTGGTTAGAAACTTATAGGATTGGCAGAAGAGGCTATGTGCTGAGGAAATATACTTTGCAGGAGGATCCCTACGTTAAGATAAGACAGAGGCTATCCAATCCATCCAATTAATACCACAAAAGGGTTGCGACAAGGATGTACCTTATCTCCTCTGATCTTCAACGCTTCCGTCGAAGTAGCCCTTAGGGAATGGAAGACGAAATGTCAAGGTATGGAAATACCCATTGAGGACAACACACTATTTCCCCGGAGCTTTGCAGACGATCAAGTCGTGATTGCGCAGGACTCATACGATCTTAAGAGGCTTTATCGAGAATACAACAAATGGAGACTACAGGTTAGTCTAAAAAAGACGGAATACTTAGCTGTCAATTCCAACGTTGTTTCGAAGTCTTCATTAATGATAACGTCCAGATTCAACAAGTAGACAAATTTAAATACCTGGGTGCTACTATCAACAACGAGGGTTTGGGCAAAGAAGAAACATAAACCCGAATTCAGAAGAGCAAACAAGTTATTGGATGTCTTAATAGCCTCTGGTGGGACCGAAACTTGTCTGCAACAACTAAAAAGAAACTTGGAAGAACATTAGTGGAGTCAGTTCTTTGCTTTGGACTCTGAGTGCAGACGCGAACCGCAAAATCCAAGTTGTTGAAATGGACTACTTTAGAAGAAGCGCAGGCATATCTAGGGCGGAAAAAAAGACAAACATCGAGGTCAGGCGTATCATGAATGCATCGAGGAAACAGTACTAGATCGAATCGAAAAATCCAGCTTAAAGTGGTTTGGACATGTTCTGCGTATACCGAAGAACAGGTGGCCAAAAAAAATTTCAATGGGCTCCACAGGACAGAAGAAAGAGAGGTAGACCTAGAAAATCCTGGAATGGAACGGTTAAGGAAGTAATGGAAGCTCGTAACCTAGAAGCTGATGACGCTCTAAATCGAAATGTGTGGCGTAGGATAACGGGAAGGCAGCAATAGGCTGTTGGTAGTTGGAAATGAGTATTAAATACTTAAACCAAATCCTGTTTTTATATATATATAGAAGGATCCCACCCTGGAAAGTTGGATACGACGTTTCGTTTACATCTTCATCAGTATGGGACTAAGGATCTGATGAATTTGAATTACATTGATAATGTTACACATTGTTGCCGAAATAGTTCCACATTTTTCTTTGGTGTAATTCAAATTACGAGTCACAATTTAACATAAAAATAATCAGAAATATATTTGAACGTATCAGTAATTGAATATCTACAAAGTGCATGGTAAAATACACTTTAAGTTTATTTTTACAAGGTTTCATGTAATATTATATTTTCTAATTATACGAATTCTTACTATAGCAACAAATATCCCACCTGGTCAAGTCATCTAGGTTGACCACGCTAGGGTAGCAGAGGAATATCACCAGATCGGTCTCTGTAACGTAAAGCATCTGACCCTTCAATCGCAGAAAGCGATATTCTGGAGGTGCATTAACCTGCATCACACCGTGTTTGGTTTTCAGCACGTAGATGGTGTTGATGTGAGAAAGAATGTTCTCGAATGTCAGTTCCAGATGAGGTCTGATCTAAAAGCATAACAGATTGTAAAAGATAAGATAATTTTTTATACAGGGTGATGTACTACGAAAAACGAAATGTTTTCATAAAAATACAAAAATTTCCATAACAAAAAAGTTACATCGATTTGTTAAAAATGCACATTTTTGAAAAACATGCCGTAACTCTGAAACGGTATCAGATATCGACGTGCAGTTTTCACCATCATGTTTTTGATAAAAGTTCAGAGTTCCAGACACCTATATTAGTTTTCGTCTATCTCCTTCAAAAACGTCCAATTTAGCCCACCCTGTACATTTTTGAAATGTTTTTTTTTTCTTTTGAATTTTATTGCGTTCTAACAAATCATCGTATCGTAAAAATCAATACATATTCTTGTCGGAAATTGAACGGTGTTCAAGAAAGATCCGATGTGATTTTTCATTTAATTGACTCGTTTGAAAGTTAATGAACTATTGAATTATTGGTTTGTATTGTATCACAACAAGTATTTTATCACGGTAATTAAAATAAAAAGAATAGTTATTTTTATACAAGACGATAAAATGGTATTTTTTCGCCGACTAAAAAGATTAATTCACGAGCGATGAAATCCCGAGTGAATTAATTTCGGGAGACAATAATGCACCTTTATCGTCGTGTATAAAACAAAATTTTCTTCCATAGCGAGTTACGTCTTAAAAAATACTCAGAAATTATTATTTCAAGGAATTTATTACGAGTAGAAAAAATATTGTACTGGGTTGGCGTTGGTTTCTATGTAATTTGACAAATAAATAAAGCTGTCTCTTTAGTTGTCAATTTTGAGTCAATATTTTTTTATTCTCTTTCCTCTCGATTGCTGATTGAATTGGAGCCAGAAATGGCTCAAAACGAAATAAGTAAATTACCAACAGATATTCAGGCTGAGGCGACAAGCGCCATATCCAAACTGCTTCCATTTAAATCCCGAATAACTTATGAAAAGGAATAAAAAAAATCAAAAATGGAAGCAATTAAAAAAGGTGCGAGAAGATATAAAGTTTTTAAAGTATCATTTAATCTACCCTTGCGGTTAAAGTACTATTTTTCTACTATTTTTGATAGATATAAGGCAATTTTAACAGTTGCTATAGAAAAAATATTCTTTCTTTTTGTGCACCCTACTGTATATTTTTATTTTATAGTACCCACACAGAACAGGTACACACTTACATATTCTATTTTATTAATAATTACAGGAAAATTATGAAGTTATTTATATTGTCATTGGGCCAAAGTTCGGGTAGATAGCTCCATCGAGCGCATGGGTCACCTTACCGGGTCCAAAACGTCGGTGACGAGGCAGTTCTCTTCGGTGACCTTGGGAATGACCCTCGAAACGGTGGAACCGGTCTGCAAGATGCGCAGGTTCCTGTCGAACGTTATGTGGAACGGAAAAACCCTGCAGAATGTGGCCGCGCTCACTTTGGGTTCTGCGAATTAATTAAAAGAAGAAGAATGAAAGGATTATTACCAACGCAGAAGAGGTTTTTTGCAGTTTAGCTTTCATTATTTTATTACAAAAATATTAGTGTAGCTTTGCATGCATCCGTAATGCGTCGTTTGTCCATAGATGAAGGAAATATGTAAATTTAGATTGGAATGCTCGGCTTCCCGCTAAAACGTATAATTGTTTTGGGTCGCATACGTTGTACAGAATCTGGCGCTGCTATAGCGGTTGCTAAGAACAACCGTAAATAAGAACAGAAAGAATTTTCTTTTGTCAAAGTCAGAATCTTCAAAAATTATAAAATCTTTCAAAATTTATACCGCTCGCATTGAAAAAATATCGAAAAGTGTTTAAAATATCGCTATCTTGTAAGTCTAATTTAAAATTTATTTACTCAAACCCCTGATAATTTTAAAAAAGTGGCATAAAAAACTTAAGATGGGTAAACTGTGAATTGCAAAAACCATCGTGGCATAACGTCGTTTTCTAATGTTCCATAGGTATTTCATACATGTCCTTTTATAAAATAAAGTTTCTTATATGCAACACACTGATGCGTTTTATTTATAAAATCAAAAGAAAATAATAATAAATTTGAATAAATAATATTTGGGACATAATTCCGGAAAAAGCCGTGTAAAACCCTAAAATGAAGAAATTGGCGCTTATCAAGTTTTTCCCCTGGACCCTGCAATTCTAAAAGCAACCAAATTTTTAATATCAATAACTTGTCAAAATATTAAATAAGTACTCATTGATTCCTTGTCAGAAAATATGACAAAAATTTCCTATAAATACGGATACGGAAATGCATAGTTTCAAATTTACAGGATGTTAAATCTTAAAAATATAGGCATTTTAGAATTAATTATCTTAAATAACATTATTTTTAGGGGGGAGTTTAATGTAGATAGCACTGTAACATCAATGTTATAAATTTTAATAAAATATTGTAATAAATTACATTAAATAAACAATAATTTATTAATTTTGTTTTTTTTTATTTTAATTATAGATACAACTTTTAATCCGCATTAAATGGCCAACACAATTTTGCTAATAAGCAGGAAAAAATATGATAAATTTATGACAATTTTTTAGCATTAAAATATGTAGCACTCATAGTAACTTTTACACTTTACCTCTAACTTCCTGTAGCTACAAACAAAGCAGAATGGGACTGACGATGTTGATTTGAAATATAAATCCTATTATTTTAGGAATCTCTCCACGGAGAAGGCACATGTTTTTTAAAATACCCTGTATAGGTCGATTAGGTTACGATAAAACTTTTCATTGAATCCTATACAGGGTGTCCCAGAAATAAGTGCAAGTATTTTAAAAGGTGGTAGATTTCGATAAAAGAAACATATTTTCTCTTTATCGTTATTCAAATAAGTCCAAAATAATTTAAGAGTTATTTGACTTTGAAAATTTTCAAAAAAATGATTTTTTCCTAAAAATTTGAGAACCCCTGGATCTTTTCTGGATTTTATTTCTTGTAAATTTAATCTAATACCTATGTTGCCATATTATCAAGAAATTATATTTTTTAACTAAATACTAAAAAAAATTCAAAAATTTTTTCAAAAAATTTAGAATTTTCAAAATTTTTTTTCGCGAAAAGCCTCATAGGCGTGTTTCTGAGATTGAACTCTACTACAAGTTAAAATACTTGCACTTATTTCTGGGACACCCTGTATGTACCCGAAAACTTTTGCTGGACTCTGTATATATGTTTATAAATCATATTATCGAATAAACGTAAAACTTGGCTTCACAATTTAATACAGGGTGTCTCGAACTTTGCTCTTTAAGCTAATACCAGGAACATGAAAAATAAAAAAAATGTAATACTAAGAGAGACAAACAATGAAATGACGGTATGCGCAGTAATAGTATTCAACAGGTATATCTAACAATATATCAAGCAATTGTTAATTTATCAATTCTATTTACAAATAAGAAAGATTTTAACGTATTCTTCAAGTCATATACTTTATAGACTATGTATTAAAAGGAAAATCAAGACTAAAATTTAACTAGTGCTCCACTTATCAAATTTTAAACTTTATAAGTGAACAACGTCCTTCTACAGAAAATATATGAATAGCAAGTGTGGTATGCCGTCTAACTGGACGTATTTGTGAAAAATAGAACTAGATTTTGTAACAACAGAAATGGAAACGCACGGTGTGACCCACTGATCGCTAACCAAACCGTTAGAAATATGTATCGGCGTATTAGGATTAACGATAAATTATGAATAATAAACAAACAGCCATTAAATATCAGTAATTATAGAGTTCTGTTTGGTTAGTATTCATAAGAAATGGAAAATTTCAATCGCATGGTATTATAGCAAAGCTTTCAGAATAAAAAGTAAAATGTGGAGCAATAAAACTAAACAAAAAAAATTATTTTAGCTGCATAACGTCGTTTAGGTTTGGTATAGAAATAATAAAATGAACAAAATATTGTTAGTTTGATACGAAATCCCACTAAATATGTTTTTTTCCTGTTAAAAGAGGAAGCATCTGTCAATCATCAGTTTGTTAGTGCTTCAAAATAACAAATATACATAATAATGTCTTAATTTTCAGGGTGTCATTTTTTATCTAAAATATTGTTGACGGGTGCGTCTGAAAAGTGGCTCACCCCCTATATCTTTTTTATTTTTTCAGATAAAAAAACCAGATTTGGTATGTTAGTATATTAGGATTGATTGGCGTATTCAATTATATTTGGCCACATCCTGTTTCACCGGAAATTACTGCAACTTTTGATTTATAAATGACACTTAGATAGAATGATATATATGTCAACTTTTGACATTTTCACATAATATGGTTTATGTGAAATTTTAACATGCGGTTCATAACGACGATTTGACTCGATATACCAAGTGTGTGGTACCAAATTATTCGCAAACAAATGCTTTTTCCAAATATGCCATCCAAAAGTAAGCCACCCTTGTTTCATTTGAAAAAATTGAGATATACTTTTTTTTTGTGTATACAGCCTGAATTTTGGTAGTTATGAATAACAATACATTATTACTATAATCTATACCAATTAAACTTTTAGTTACGTAATCGAGGGCCCGATTTTTAAATTAATTTTAGCTAACCATAGACATATATTCGGCGCCGGCGCCGAGCTGACTAACTGGAATTTAAATTTCACGCTGGCAGGTGGTAGCTCTGCTGTAAAAAATGCCAAGTTGCCACATTTATTTATTTATTTATTTCCTGACATTTGTGTTGACACTTTAGTTTTGTATTACAAGTTTTTGATTTAAATTAGTATTAGTTTTATTTTTATACTTTAAGCTTAAAAAATTTGAATTTTGGTGTGATTTGTCATTGCAGATCTTGCAGTCGAACATTGTTCTTTTTCATTGATCTTTTAGTTCGAAGTGTACAAGATAGCTTAATAGCCGTTGTATAAAACTCATCGCAACCTTATTAGAATATTTTGAATGGGAAAGCGGTAGTAATGACCCTTTATATCATTTAAGTGCTGTTACGAAGGTGAGTTTTGTTGATGTAAATAATAACTGTTTATTTATTTATTTATAATTAATTTATTTTTGTTTCCTAAAATATTGTGATTAATAATGAAAATAAGTAAAAGTGCAATCACACGTCTAAAAGTTTATTTGGTATGATGTATAGATAGTATGTATTTACTCAATATTAATGTGTCATATCTCTATTTGTTTAGAGAATATTTATGATAAGAATTGATTACCTAAAGAAAGAGTCTCGATTTCATCAATCTGAGGAAGTAGGGACCTCTGAGGACCGGACTTCTCAGTAATTAGGAACTGGACGTGATCGCATTCTTTTTTTGTCTTCAAGATCTCAATCTCTACCTCAGTTTCGTGGAGCTTACTGGCAACAGTCTATAAAAAGCAACCAAAAATTAGTAACAATATATCTAATGTTTGTACTTTTAAATTTACATAAAGATTTATTATAACGAAAATCTATCAACAGTTCAATTTTTAAGTTCAAGCTTAAAGAAGCCTACTCATACCCAGCCTTGCAGACTTAACATCATTTGAATACAAATCCCATATCAGTAGCCGTCAAATAGATAATCTGTTATTATGACTAATCGTATCAAGAGAAAATAGAACTGTCAATATACAAGGTGTTCCAATATTCCGTGGACATAGAACTACTACTATGTATTTATGGAATCAAATAAGTTTATTGGACACAACTTACCTATAGATATACAAAAGTGCTTCGTTTCTCCGTTTGAGGGCATCAAACTTTAAAAAAATGGACACATTTTTTAAGATATATGTTAAGAACCGTTATTCCGATTTGAATGAGTTTTGGGGTTCCTATGTTTTGCCAAGTACTTTAACATTTGACATTCACGAAAATCGAGAAAAAGTACGGGAAGAGTGAAAATTACCCCCACCCCTACATAAATTTTAGTGTAAATATTTTTCAACCCCACCGACGACCGATATATTTTTTTACGTAAAATTGTCATCGCAAAATGATGATGATGATCATGATGATGAGGACTTCCAGAATATGTTTCTTGTCTCATCTAATAGGTTGATGTGTAGGCGCACAAAACCTATGATGCGTTAATAATCTAGTTGGAGAAAATATGAAATTTTATGTTAGTATCCCAAATGATATATGACCATAAGCTTCCTAAAAAGCTTAAAAAAATAAATAAATTTTAAATTAATTAATGTTCCGGTTTATTTTTGATTGATGCCCTCTAACGGACAAACGAAGCACTTTTTTATAGAGGTAAATTGTGTGCAATTAACTTATTTTGGTCCAAAAAAATACGTAGTAGTTCTATGTCCACGGAATATTGGGACACCCTGTATATCTTTTAGCTAGAAATAAACCAACATTTGCAATTTAAATTTATTTGAATAAAGTTAATAACTAATTCAAAAAATAATAATAACAATTGGAAACTAATTAATAAACTACTTATTAATAATTGGTAATTAGTAACTTTGATTTGACATGGACTATGACGTTTAGCATAAGAGAAGCATATAGCATAAGAGAAGAAAAAGTAAACATTTAAAAATTCAGAAGAAATCGCAAACTATTCAAATAATGTGGGTCGAAATTCATAAATTTATTTTGAACACCTTAAGATGGTACATTAAAAAAAATATTATAGCGCTATGCAGTTTTGAAAGACCCTGTATATATACTCAAAATTACTTTTTTTAAACGTAACAAATAGTTATTTTTTATACAAGACGATAAAATGGTATTTTATCTTCGTGTATAAAACAATATTTTTTTCCATAGCGACTTACGTTTTAAAAAATATTCAGAAATTATTATTTCAAGGAATTTATTCCGAGTAGAAAAAATGTTGTTCTGGGTTGGCGTTGGGTTCTATGTAATTTGACAAATAAATAAAGCTCTTTCGTGTCGATTACTGATTGAATTGGAGTCAGAAATGGCTCAAAATGAAATAAGTAAATTACCAACAGATATTCAGGCTGAGGCGACGAACGCCATATCCAAACTACTTCCATTTAAATTCCGAATAACTTATGATAAGAAATACAAACATTTTCAAAAATGGAAGCAATTAAAAAACGTGCGAGAAGAAATAAAGTTTTTAACCTATCTTCGCTGTTAAAGTATTATTTAATCTACCCTTGCGGTTAAAGTAATATTTTATCTACTATTTTTGATAGATATAAGGCAATTTTAACAGTTGCTATGGAAAAAGTATTAATCTTTGCGACATGATCAATAACATAAAAACTATTTATTAACGCCTAAGCATAAAGTAAAAAAGTAAAGCATTTTTACGCCTAAGCACAAGAATTCGAAAATATATTATTAACCTGATATAAAGTGTCAAATTCAACAAGCTTTTTATTTTATTTGGAACGTTTAAAATTGTTTAAAAATTATTTGTGACGTTTGAAAAAAAAAATCCATGTTCTATCCGTAGTAAAAATGACTTGTTTGATAAAATTCATATTACCTTTACGATTCCAATGACAATATGTTCGAGGCCGGGCCTGTCCGAATAGTAATGCAGCACCAGAGCGCCATCTTCCGGACGTTCAGTGCACCTGAACGAGGGCGCTTTCATGCCAGGATAGAGAGTGCCCAAATGATCGTGCAAAGCGTCGAGATTCTGTAATACGAAAGCGCTTCAGTGAGCGAAACCGGCAACAGATGGCGCCGTCGGCATTTACCTGCAGGAAATCGCGCGGAGTGGCGCCCAACACCTGCAGGATTTTGTCGTAGCCGGAATCCTGACAGAATTCGAAAAATGTCTTGCCGAACAGCTCCAAGATGGCATTGGCTGGGACGTCTAATTTAAAAATAAAAAAATACAAATAGAACTATTTTTTATATTAAGTATGCGAATTAAGAGATTTTTAATACATTTTTTGAATTTATTCCAAGTTCTTTCTTGTATAAAATTAAAACCCTCTTTTTATACAAGATGGTTCGAATAGAAATCGGAAAATTTCGGCAGCATCTTCTGCAGATAAAAATAAATGAACAAGTTCGTATAAATGTATCTCCTAAAATGCGAAATATTTCGGTGATACAGGGTGTATAAGTTTCGTTTTTATTTCGATTTTTACCAGATAATTTCTGAAGTAACTTAACTATTTGGATGAAAATCGGTGTCTGGGAGTTTTTTGACATGACAAATTTGGATTTTGATGTCAATATGACGCCTACTTGTAGAGGGAGCCACCTACATAAAATAAGTAGAACTTCGTATAAGTATAAGTAGAACGAAAATATTCGGAACCACAGGGTGTAGAAATTTTATTTTTACTTCGATTTTTTTCAAATAACTTCTGAAATAAGGTCCATATTTGGAAGTCTCCAAATTTTTATATAACCTGCTATTTATTTTTTTATGCAAAAGCGCAATATCTATTAAGATGTCAAAAGCGCCTTCAAGCTACCAAAAAAAAATTATACTGGAAATTATTAAGGAAGGAAAGCTCTTTGAAGCGAGCTCTAGTTTGTTTAAATCGGCTAACCTAAACCAGAATTGCCCTTATTCTTTTGGTACACAATAGATTTGTAGGGTCGCAGTGATTAACCCCCCTCCCACTCATTCTCATTCTACCCTTATTTTAATAAAGACAAGTTTAAACTTAGCCCACCATTTTATGAAATAGAGCAAAATATGCTATACAGGGTGTTCCAAAAATAAGTGCAAGTATTTTAACTGGTAGTATAGTTCAAACCCAGAAACACGCCTATTAGTTTTTTTTCGCGAAAAAAAAATTGAAAATTCGAAATTTTTTGAAAAATGTTTTGGATTCTTTTCTTAGTTTTTAGTTAGAAAACATACTTTCTTGATAATATGTCAATATAGGTATTAGATTAAACTTACAAGAAAGGAAATCCAGAAAAGATCCAGTGGTTCTCAAAATTTTAGCAAAAAAATCATTTTTTTTTTTAATTTTCAAAGTAAAATAACTCCGTTATTTTGGACTTATTTGAAAAACGATAAAGAGAAAATATATTTCTTTTATCTAGATCTAGCACCCCTTAAAATACTTATTTCTGGAACACCTTGTATAAAATAATTACTAATTTCTCACTGATTACAATAGCATTATTTAAAATACCTCATCACCTGCATATTTTTGAGAGTAATCATGTTTTCTAATTGGCCATCACAGATGCGCCCCCTAGCGGATATTTTTCAGACTTGAAAATAATTTCCAGCGAGTTACCTTGGTCGATTTACTTGTTACAGTTTTTCCCCAAAGTTATCCGGTTAATAGTTTCCGAGATAAAGCGGGCCTCCATTCTTAGTTGACCACCCGGTACATTTTCTATTAAATGCAAATATTTTTAGGGGTAGTATATTTTGATCCCTGAAACACGATTATGAGTTTTTTTTCGCGATAAAATAATTTTTTTAAAAAATTTTAATTTTTTGAAAAAAATTTAGAAATTTTTTTTAATTTGTAGTTAAAAAACACAATTTCTTGATAATATGGCAACATAGGTAGTGTATTAAATTTAACAGAAAGAAAATCCAGAAAAGAAACATTGGTTTTCAAAATTTTTGGAAATTTTCAAAGTAAAATAACTCGGTTATTTTGGACTTATTTGAAAATCGGTAAAGAGAAAATATGTTTCTTTTATCGAGATCTACCAGGCCTGAAAATATTAGCACTTATTTAAGATTCGCTCTGTATACGGGGTTTAAAAAAACATGTGCCATATCTTGTGGGAGTATTCTCCATGTAAAAATAAGATTTATTTTTCATATCAACATAAGTCCGATTTTTTTTTCGTAACCACAGTGTGTTAAAATTCTTTTTCGATTTATGATAATTTCCTTTCAAGTGCGTTAAGCAATTCCAATGAAATTTTCAGGATAAAAGTTACAATAAATGCGACATATCGTTGGCTTTATGACGAAAAGGCTATTTATCTCGATTTTTGGCCATTTTGAGATATCAACGTCATGATATGCCCAATGGGTCATATTTTAACATAGCGAATTTGCGCATCTCAATATTGTATGTGTTTTTCATTTTATATTCGTTTAAAAATTTGCCCCATCTCAAATACTACAATTCTTCGTTATGACGAAGAGAGTATGTTGAGATAAGGCTCTTTGCTCTTTGTTATATCAATTGTTATACCAATTGTTATACTACAAGAAAGATGGAATTTGAGATAGGTCCTATTGTTTTAAGTTATGAAAATGCATGCGAGAGAAAAGCACACCATTCTACCTAATTATTTTCTGATGGTTGCTTGGGACAAAATAAAACTTCTATCATGGCAGCAGCTCTTTTTACAGTGTGACTTTGAGACTGTTTTTTTGCCAAAAAACATTGTTAGAATGAGCTAGACTCTGCACATAGCTGTATCGGGTATGCAAAAGATTGTTCGAGAATAAATTGTTGAAGAAAAATTGATCGAAAGCAAAACAACGAAACGAAAATTGCCCTAATAGAAAAATTGCCGAAATCATAATTTCCCTAAGAACATTTTAGCGAACCAAAAACTTGCCCGAAAAATACAATAATTTTCATCTCATTATCATTGTCAGGCTATTGGCATTGTCATCCCTGCCAATTTTTGAAAATTTTTATTTTTTATATTATATTTTATCATCATCCAGCATAAACACTTAGAATGGAAGTCAAATTTGTTATCAATGAACAGGGAAAACAGAAACTGTTACTCCACAGTTATTTGTATCAAAAGGCACGAATGAAGAAACATGTTTTGTTTTTGTTTAGTTTGTTTTTTATTAAATGGACCGTGAGTTTAAATGCCTTGTATTAATGCCCTCAATTAACTAAATAATTACTAAAAATATATTTAAAAAAAAAACGTATTTTTGTATAAAAAACAGTATTATTAAAATAAGCTAGATAAGAGTATTTTAATTGATTATCGTCTTTGCTTCTGGCATGAAAATTGTCTTTGTTTTTAGTTGATATAATCCAACGCAAATAAAAGTATTTAAAAATATTTGTTTCTGATTTTTTGGTGATTTTCAGATTTTTTCTGTATATATATATATATATATATATATTGTATTTTCTTGTATGTATTCCATAATGTGAATCTTGTATTATTTTTTTTCCTTATTAAGAACACTTTACCATCAGAATTAACGCACAATTTATCTTCAGAACGTTTCTTCAATATTTCCGTTTAAGTGTTAACACAAAAACACTATTAAAAAATTAAAGACTTTAGATTTATTAGCCAAATAAAGTAAGTGATTTTCTTTAAATTGCTTTCCTGAAAAGTAGCAACAATCGAGATACGCCATTTCGTCATAAAGCCAACGATATGTTAGTGCTAAAAGTGTCGACAGATTCACCAGGAGCGTGCATGTGGGTTATTCCTAGATTAATTAAAAAAAAGCATATGTGTCACTGATTTTTTTTTTACTTAGCAAAATTTTGTAGGCTGTTTAATGCCGATTAAATGCTGTCTCTTTATATTTTGTCGATTTCTGTCTTCTTGATGAGATGTCTCATTAATATTAATCATCAAAAAATATGAAAAAAGTTCCTATAAACATATGTGCGGAAATGCACAGTTTTAAAGTTACAGGGTGTTAAGACTTTTAGAAAATAGGTCCTAGGTAATTATTTAGGAAAACATTCCAGTAATAACCCATTTTATACACGTCCTTATTCTATCGACACTTTTTTAGCACTAAAATATGTCGCATTTATTGTAACTTTTATCCTGAAAATTTTATTTCAGTTGCTAAAAAGACTCGAAGACATGTTTTTGGCGCATACTTTTAAAACACCGTGTATAACCTTTTTTAGAAGCAATTACATAAAATAAAAACTTCTCGGCAACTTACTTAGAATTTCGACAGCGGCGCGAATCAGATTATAAGTGATCTCGTCCTCGTAAATCTGACGGACCAGAAATTGTCCCTCCATCTGAACTTCGGCTTTTTTTCTGAAAAAAAAATCGACAAAAAGCTATGTTAAGAAGCGACAGAACTAAAAAGATCTTTGGTTTTGATAAAAAATATCGAGACGTCTGGTTTTAATTTACATGAGACACACTTTGAACGAAATTTGAATGAAGCTTCGCGGGAAAGTTTCGTATTGAAAAAGGCACTTAGTTAAAATTTGGTTCAGTTTAAAACTTTCATCGAAGATTTAAATTGGTAGAGAAATGGTTAATTTAGGAGTGGAATATACAGTATGTCCCCGGATTGTCTTTACAAAAGAAAAAACTTTATTATTATTGACATTTTAAGAAAAATGCATTCTTCATAAAAAAATTTGCTTGTTCTAAAATGGTTAATCCCGTTTATATGTTTTTACAAATTCCCATACCGTTTTAGAGAAAATTAAAAAAACATGAAAATACCGTTGAATTTTCCTAAAAATCAAAAGGCATTTCTATAGCATTTCAATTTCATTCTTTGGTAGATGGTTATTATTTATTTTGTTTGTTTTTTTTGTTAAATTATCCCACTTTTTGATAACTATTGAACTAAATAAATTTTGTGGTTCTTTAACATTTTAAAACAGCAAAAAATATAACCTTATACTTAATTTAATATAACCTCAATAATAGTCTATAAAAGAGTGAAAACGAAATTATATTACCTTAGAAACGCGTTTTGATTTTTAGGACTTAAGGTTGATTCTCACTATACCTTCCATATCAGCTCCCTTCCGTTTCCCTTCCGTTTACATAAAATATTATATCATGTAAATTAATACGACCATGCACACTATACGTTCCTTTTCTCTTCCGTTCCATATCCTTTCATTCGATACATTTTTTTGGCGAACGGACTGAAGCGTATCGGAAACAGCGTTGTCAAGTTCTTACATTTGTACCAGCTCTGGTTAAATTTTGCTGATATTTATTCATCCTTTCACCTCTTAATTAAATCTATTACCTTTTTCAAAAGATACAAATTTTTAAAAACTTTCGTAATTATATAAATTGTAGAATAAAAAGTATGGAACTGATACAGAACGGAAGCTTACCCAAGTAGCATTTTCACGACTTGCGACCACATGTTTACTAAACACAACGTTGGATTAGTTACAAAAAATAGTTAGCTCTGTACCGTGGGTATTAAAATAAATGTAAACGTTGTTGTAACGTTGCGCCGACGTTGAACTAGTACTACAACAAAGTAAAAACTTCTGCGACGTCGAATAAACGTTGTCTTGTAACCTTTTTTGCTTAAGCGATCTGTAGGTGATTCGGACAACGTAGTTACAATGTTGGGCAATAAAGAGTTTTCCGACGTCACTTTCAGGACCTATTCCAACGTCGTCTGTTTTACTAATTCCAAAGTTGTCCAATTTCCTTATTCTTACCTTGGTAGGACGTCGAACCACTACCTTTTTGCAACTGTATTGAACCATAACCTTAAATCTTAAATTTTCACTTCATTGTTCTGTTCAGTCAGACAGTACATTGCTGTTTTTGTTTTTATAAAAAAAAAACTTAATTAAAATGGGACGTAAGAAAGGCACATATAAATAAATTTAAATATACATCGACATATTACAGATACTTCATTCACTCCCTCCTTTATTTAGAATATAGAGGGCGGCACAAGCTAGACTCTAGGATGACTAAATTAGGCAATCTTGCGACTAGTACCTATACTACCTGTTAAGGCTAAACTGCGACTTTATTAGTCCAGTATGCGACTACTCGAACTAAAACACTTTACTGGACTAATCAGTATGCGACTACTCGAACTACTCCATCTTAATCTCCAAAATAACAAAGTGAAAGCCGCCATGTTGTTGAATAAGAAAATTCCTGCTTTTTAATACATTAACTTGAAATATTTAACCCTAAACAACACGCGGAATTTTTTTTCGACGGCGAATAAATTATTCTCATTTTACTAAAAAAAAATTTCAAGAAATTTTTTAACACTTCTTTAATTTTAAGGCCCATTAGTATTTTTCAAAGTAGAAACAATACATTTATCAATAAAGTTGTTTGCGTTTTACTTTTTTGCCTTGGGTAACGAGTTACAGAGTTGGTTAAAGTGTTTCAATAATTATGATCTTCAAACATCCTCCACACTTAAATACTTTTGTATTGTTTTCCTTTACTACCATCTGGGATATGTCTCTAACTAAATCATAAAAATAATATTTTTACTATAATTATCCTAATTTAGGATAAAACGCGACTTGACGCCATATTATTATAGTTTTTTATTTGTGTGAATTAGGATTTTAAACAACGTTGCAGTTTGTACTAAATTAGGATGCTAGCCAACGTAGGTATCCAACGTCGTTTCGACCTAAATATTATTCTCCAAATTAGTGCAGACTAGGGTTGGCAGGAGGTTGTGCCGACGTTGCGCCCCCACCGTTTGGTCGCGTGACACAACGTTGTCCCGACGTCCAAATGCTGCTTGGGTACGTATAGCGTCAATACAATAAAAATACGGAACGAGTATGGAATGGATATGGAATGGAAACGGAAGGTATAGTGAGAATCAACCTTTAAATGGAATATAATAATAGTTATTTTTTATACAAGAATTTTTTTAGTGGTATTTTATGGTCGACCGAAAAGATTAATTCACGAGCGATGAAATCGCAAGTGAATTAATTTCGGGAGACGATAATGCAATTTTATCGTCATGCATATAACGAGTTACGTTTTAAAAAATATTCAGAAATTATTATTTCAAGGAATGTATTACAAGTAGAAAAAATATTGTGCTGGGTTGGCGTTGGTTTCTATGTAATTTGACAAATAAATAAGGCTGTCTCTTTAGTTGTCAGTTTTGAGTCAATATTTTTGAATTCTTTTTCGTGTCGATTGCTGATTCAATTGGAGCCAGAAATGGCTCAAAACGAAATAAGTAAATTACCAACAGATATTCAGGCTGAGGTGACAAACTCTATATCCACACTACTTCCATTTAAATCCCGAATAACTTATGAAAAGGAATACAAAGATTTTCACAAATGGAAACAATTAAAAAGCGTGCGAGAAGAAATAAAGTTTTTAACCTATCCTCGCTCTTAAAGTATCATTTAATCTACCCTTGCGGTTAAAGTACTATTTTTGATAGATATAAAGCAATTTTAACAGTTGCTATGGAAAAAATGGAATTATATTTTCATGTTTTGTTTTTAATTTTCTCTAAAACGGTATGGAAATTTAAAAAAGTATAAATAGGATTTTAGAAAAAGGATTTTTTTAAGAAGAATGCATTTTTTCAAAATGTCAATAATAAAAAAGTTTTTCCTATTGTGTGGTCAAAATTTTACGCCAAACTTTTATCAAAGTCACCCAGTGATTTTTCTCTCGTATTTTACCATTGAAAAAAACATATGAAATAATACTGCGTGTGTCTGCAAAACTATTAAAAATTTTGATATTCTTTAAAACAAAAAATGTTCATTTTTTAACTCTCCATCTAATAAAAAAATAATATACAAGTTGTTTTATTTAAAAAAAAACAAAGAAAAATTATTTCATATTTTAGAACGTTTGGCGTAGAATTTTGAGCTCCCTGTATGATTTAGGATTACGATATTTATAGCAAAGTAAGTATATCTAAAGTACATCTAAAGTAAATACCTAATGTAGTTTTGATTTCAGGACAATTCTTATATTTGTAATAATTTTTTTAAACGAAGGTTGAAAAATATTTATTTTTTATTTTTTTTATTAATATTTCTGGAATTATGAAAATATATTTACTCATAAATAAATTTGAATCGTTTTTTTCATGTTTTTCTTTCAATTTTCTCTAACATTCTTTTTAGGACTATTCTTATATATTTGTAATATATTTTTTAAGGAATGTTGAAAAATATATATTTTTTATTTATTTTTATTAATATCTCTGGAATTATCGAAATATATTTAGTCAGAAATAAATATGAATCATCTTTTCATGTTTTTATTTTAAATTTCTCTAAAACGGTACGGAAATTTCAAAAAGTATAAACGGGATTAACCATTTTAGAACAAGCAAAAATTTTATGAAGCACTTTTCTCAAAATGTCAATATTAAAAAAAATGTTCCACTTGTATAGACAATCCGGGGACATAATAATTGTAGACAAATATTATTTTTTTATTTAAATTTTAAAAATTAAATTTGTAATAATAACAAACACTTACTTTATTTCTTCCCATATTTCCTCACTGTACGTTTTGGTGACTAATAGCTCCAAAGCGTAGTTTACGAACCCATACTACAAAAAAACAATTTCCGATTAAAAAATTAATTTAGGAAAGCATAATATCTACTATCGTGAACAAATACCATTTTCGAACACGTCGATTTTCAATTTTCCCAGCTTCCGACAAAAAGTGGCGTTCTAGTGATCGACTGGCGGGAAACTAAATGTGTTTTCATCGGAAAATCCGGAACAGTAGAGCGAAGATCGATTGGGAAGGTTGTACGCTTGCGTCATAGTCCGAGTGTTGAGTTTTCCTTTGCCGGCCGTTTGAAACACCATCAAAAATTAATAATGTCGTTAAATAAACCGATCATATATAGATTCAGAGCCAGAAGAAAGTCTTAATGAAATTGCTTATGATGCAATCTACAGGATGATCCAGTTTTACGTAAAAACATTAAATGAGATTTTCTTCTGAGATTTCTATCTCAAACATTATTACGAAATACGCGAGCGTTTTGGTGGCGCAAGTTTAAAAGAAATCATAGATATACAAAGTAAGGTGGATGGATCAGAGAAGGCCAATTATAAAAAAGTCATAGTTGTAGGCTTGGTGCATTCTCTGTCGGTGCTGCCACCATCGGAGAATATCGTAAACAACTCGTACTTACAAATACACGGGCTTAAATAGCGAGAATACAAAAAAAATATTATCTAATTATTCTAAAAGTATTAGTAAGTTAAGGAAAAATAAAAAAGTAACTATTTTGATATTTTTAGAAGGTCTAATTTGTATTATAATTTATTAATCCAGTTAAAAAAAATTTAGATGAGTTCAGCTACGGTAACGATCATAGTTTTAATCAGCGGTTTTGCTAGTGGGGCATATTATATGCATATATGGGGCATATTGCGGCTATTTCGGCTATAACGAAATTTTTTAAAGGTATATAATGTATATGAAAATGTTTTATGAACATTTAATCACCAGTTGATTAAAAAAAGTATACCATTAATATTGCAAATTATATTTTGTCCTCTCATAGTATATGTATGTCTTTTTAATTTTTTGATTATGTAACGAGCACTTTGCTTACTCACTTGTTTCGGGAGAGTTGAATATCCGGAAAAGTTGAATTATTGAATGTTATTGCACCCAACAACGCCCTAATTATCATATAAGTACCTGTTATGGTACTAAAAAAAATAATAATTTTGCTTTGATTTCAGATAAAATATCGGTAGTGTTCCTAAGAAAGACGGTGGTTCCTTATAAGGCCAGTCAAAAATTTGACGGCTGGCCTTGCTAGGGTACATGGGTCTTACTAGGAACATTTACAGATCATGAAAATATGAACACTTAGTTTTTAGTTTTAAATAGGTAGATACTGGGAAAGTTGAAACAATGTTTTATGTTTTGTAATATTATTATTTATAAAGGTTATTTCAACTTTTTAGCTGAAAAAACATTTTGGTCTTACAAAGAACAAAACCATAAGAAGGCTATTAGTATAGGTATTTTTTTCTTTTTTAATTTTGTCCTAAAACGCATTGGCAAATTATTTGTTATTGATATAATACTCAATATTATACTTACTATAATTTTTAAATAATTTTTAAATAATTTTTAAATAATTTTTAAATAATTTTTAAATAATTGATAAAATAGATTTAAATAAATTTTTAGATAATTTTTAATTGCCAATTAATCATACTATTGTCTCTAACCGGTTTAAAAATAGTGTTTAAGATTTACTAGAAAAATATATAAATAGCTTTCGAAGGAAAGCTTATTTTTTATTATAATAGTGTGGAAAATAGTGGACGTGGAAAATAAGTATTATTGTTGATTGAAGAAATAAGAAGATACGCAACCTAATGGGCGATTTCGTGGCATAAAACCTGTCCGAGATGTAGCTGGCGTTGCCGTCAGCCTGTACGAGATTTAGTTTACCTCTGCGCCGCTGCGCGCTGATAGTCGTTCACAGCGCAACAAATAAAGAATACTGTACCGTATGTCTATGGTACCGTAGTTCTGCTTTCAGTCGACAGAGTGAGTGGTTGTCCGAGAGAGTGTTGCCAGAACTACTGATAAATCCGTAGATTTAGGGATTTTGTGTACAGTACTTTAATAATACGAATATTCTATCATTATAAACAATTTAATATATTATACAAATTATCACCCTACAGTTTGTTGACCACCAAGTGCCATCGAGGGAATTCAAAGTATTTATCATAATTCATTTTCGAATTAATGCCTCGACGTGGTAAGTTACCTTGCTAAACAATTATTGCATTTTCCGCATACTTTTTCATAGCGAGGCGATGCCGATGGCTCGAATGGGGCGTGAAAATTGAGAGAAGAGGAATGTGTGGTAGTTTTGCGTTTATTGACGATATTATCCGTGAAATACGAGTGTGATTTTATTACTTTCAGCGCGATAACAAAAACGGGCAAAGTAATATTGTACGGTGTGCTTTCAAAAGGAAATTCTTTTTCGTTATTTCGTTTTAAAAGAACAATTCGGGAGTGACATAGGCGATTTTTATTCGTAGAACTGTAATACAAATATAAATTTTGTTATAAAATTGCATTATTTTATGTCATTCTAGCTAAAGGACATATTAAATTACAAAATATATTTATGAATCTTGGATCATTCCCATTGCACCAAAACGCTCTCTGTTAACAAGTTACTTTTTATTCAAATCACTATTATATTATACTCAAATCTAGATTGCCACTTTATCTAAAGAAGAAAACATTTGACCAATGTATTCCATTATATTATTTATACGAACTTTGTTATTTATTTTAATGTGCAGAATATGCTGCCGAAGTTTCCGGAATACAGTTCGGACCACCCTGTATTATGGCATTTCGTTCAAAAGAAAAGCTTGGGGATCTTATTAAGTCGGAATAAGAAAAATTCGATGGTAAGGTTTTTGCGGCGTTACCAAATTTATCTACAATTTTTTTTTCGAAAAGATAAGTAGACAAAATCATTAAATATGTTTCCAGGCATCTGAAATCGGATCATAAGAATATCATTAAGATGTCCATTTTTTTTAATAATGAAAAAATGTCAATAATCGCAGTAATTTAAAAATTTTAACACATAACACGCGATAACTCAAGAACCACTTTAAATATTAAAACTTTCTTTTTTTTATTTTGAAGTTCGGATATTCGCCAAGTTGTTTAAAGAAGAAAAATGTACAACCTTCCCTAGAATTCTAAGTACTACATTTCAATTTTATAATTTTATGAGACGCGACAGCGCTAGAATAGCTGAAAAGAAGACAATTTATATTTTTCGAATAAAGTAATATTTTATAAGCTTCTACTTCAGTATACATTAAACTGAGATGAACCGCCTACTTAAAAATAAACATATTTATTTAAATTCAAAACATTCATTTTTAAGGTACTCTATACAGGGTTGTTCACCACATACGACACGAAGTATTGTAGCTAAACGACTAGATTTTTACAAATTGTAAGTTTTGGATTCGTTGAAGGACTATTAGAGCTACAATTTAAAAATATTTTTACAAAATACAGAGTGTCCCAAATAAATAAAAAATATCAGAGTTGTATTTTTTTAAATGGAACACCCTATATATTATTACATTTTTAGTTTCTACGCTTAAAATAAAGGTAAATTTGATTAAGGTTTATTACACTTAAACCTTACCGTTTTTGAAATATTTTCAATTTTGTGAAATTGCAGTATAAACTTTAAGGCTTCATTTCTCCGAGGGTATCAAAGTTTTTATTACTAAATATTTACTGAAGTTTATCTATTGATCAGTAATTGTGTTGCAATAATAAAAACTTTACTACCTTATACAGAGTGTCTAAAAATTAATTTTAAATAATTACTAGCTTTAAACGGCAATAATTTGTTTAATTTAAATAGAACACCCTGTATATTTTATGAGAATCAGATGCACAATTTAATTGTCTATCAAATTATATTATACCATTTTTTACCTATCTCTTCAAGTTTCCGTAGAAAATACATTTTCTTGTAATTTAGAACCCATTTATCAATATACCCATGGAATACTGACATTTTAGATTATTTTTAAAGATGTACCAAATTTTTAAAGAGTACAGATACTAATATTGTCGATATAGTTCGTTTATTTCATTAAAAAAAACTGTTTAAATATTTGTTAAAAAGGACCAATTAATATGATTCCAGTATTCAAACTACATTAATTGACTGTTTGCGTTGATTAATAATAATTGCTCCAAATACTAAAAAGCTGAATTATGTATGTGTATTAGACAGTGTGGTAAAAAGTAACACCTTAAAAATGATATTTAATTTTTCGACAAATGCCTATTTATAACAACAGAGACGTTCATTTTCATAACTTATTATTATATTGATTTCTGACTCAAATCCACATTTATTTAGAATAATTTATTAACGAACACAATTAAGTATGTAGTTAATTAGTATTTGGGCGGAAATACTGGTGGTATATTTAATTAATGGTATACTCTTTTATAAAGATTTAAATAGTTTTCTTTTTGCATACAAATGGGCTAGTAATATTATCGTTTTACTAAAAACGATAATATTACTAGCCTGTACATTTTGTACATTTGTTGTTTTAAAAACAATCTAAAATGTCAATATTCCATGGGTATATTTATAAATGAGGTCTAAATTATAAGAAAATGCATTTTCTACGAAAACTTGAAGGGATAGGTAAGAAGTGGTATAATACAATTTGATAGACAATTAAATTGTGCATCTGATTCTCATAAAATATACAGGGTGTTCTATTTAATGTAAATAAGTTATTGCCGTTTAAAGCTAGTAATTATTTAAAATAAAATTTTAGACACTCTGTATAAGGTAGTATAATTTTTATTATTGCAACACAATAACTGATCGATAAATAAACTTCAGTAAATATTTAGTATTAAAAACTTTGATATCCTCGGAGAAATAAAGCCTTAAAATTTATACTGCAATTTCGCAAAATTGAAAATATTTCAAAAACGGTAAGGTTTAAGTGTAATAAACGATTCAAATTTACCTTTATTTTAATCATAAAAACTAAAAATGCAATAATATACAGGGTGTTCCGTTTAAAAAAATACAACTTTGATATTTTTTATATATTTGGGACACTCTGTATCTTGTAAAAATATTTTTAAATTGTAGCTCTAATAGTCCTTCAACAAACCC